GACCTTGGCTCTCTACTCGTGTATCCTGATTTCTGGCACCCATGACGATTCTCCTGTTTATGTCCGTATCTGTACTGCAACTTGGAGCATCATCCTGCACAGCCCCTGTGCACAGACTCACAGACCAGGTGAGTTCTTCCCTGACCACCGTGGCCTGTGTTTAATTGCAAGGATGAGCATATCTCTGCATACCGGACTCCCACTAAGGTAAGCCGTGACACAGTGCTGGCGAGGGTCCTACATCAGGTTAATGTTCAAGGGATTTTGCTTCTCCTCATTGCTCTTCTATGACCAAGTCAGGCATGATTCCTGAAACTTTGGAATTATCCTGTGACTATCCTCTCCTCCTGTCATCATTCCCTCTTCTCCTATCCGATCCCCAGGGAGATCCACACCCTCTCCTCCTTCAAGGCCGACTAGATGGCTCACAAGGCTTGAATGATTTCAGGGTATTCTGGTTGGTCGACAGCCTATCACAGACAACTAAGGACCTATTGTGGGACTCTTGGACGTCTGGCACTAGGACTAGTTGGTGTTTGGAGAAGGACTCCAATCCCTGTATTGCACCTGTTCCTGTCATCTTGATTTTCTTATCCTATATGTTCAGATCGTTCGTTTCATTTGGCAGGGCATGTTCTGGTTCAGGGGCTCCAGGTAAGTCAGGAACCGTTGATCTGTCGGCTTCTGTGTGTTATTCAGTTGTCTTGTCCCCCCAGCACCAAACTACTTGCGGCTCTGGGGTGTTGACATGGTCCTCTGTTTCCTTCAGGATTGGCCAGATAATGAGGCATTGTCAGCTCTCAGCAACACTTACGCTTTTACTTCGTCTGGTCTGTTTCTATCACATAGCTGACATCCTGGGTTTTGATGTGGACGGGTTGTCTTTTGCGCCGACAGGGGTATCTTTTTCAGTCTCACAACATACCAAGACGAATTCTTCAATGGCTTTCTACCCTTTTTTTCCTACGGCTCCACAGATCTCCATGATCAAGACGTTATTGCATTGTGGAAGCAACCACTCCTCTGCGTCGTTCTCCAACTGGTCAGCTGCTTATTTCTTATGTCAAGCCACACAAAACACATGTCGACTACTATTCTAGCGAGAGGTGGTCACTGGCTTTTGATGTTGGCTGGAGTACAAAGTGCAGCTGCGTCTCAAGCTTTCTCAACAGGTGCGTCTCTTGTGGTTTCATGAACATATCTTTCGAGTTTTCTACTTTTGCTCGTCTTCTCACGCTTCTTTTGCTCTCACTTCCTTAGCGTTAAAAATGCTAAATCTTAAGCCTCTTGTAATGTGGTACAATTGTAGATTATGATAACGGACTGTACTTATAAACTTAATTTTAGTAATGATAGGAGGTGAGTATTTTCTCTCACATTTTGGGCTCGACATGGTTTTCTATGTTGTTTATATTTGCTTACTGAATGGGTGGTAGTTGTTAATACTGCTTTATGTCAGTTGCATAGTTAGTTTTATTCTTATACTTTGTATTCCTATACTTTGATATGTTTGATGTCATATTATTTAACATTATTTATGTGGACATTCTATCATTGCCGCTACCGTTCACGTATTTGTGTTCTTTTCAATGTGAAACTCGACTTTTGGTGTCAGTGACGGAGATTCCTCCTACGCGTTCCACGTTGTCTATCCAGAATTTGTTGGATTGGTTGTAAAGTCTGACTCTTTGTTTCATGTTTTATATTGGACTATTCCATTCACATCAAAGAAAAAGGAGGTGTTTAGACTCTCAGGGCTTTATATAACATGACACCCTTTTTTTGATTGGTTGATTTTTTTTTTTTATGATTGGTCTGTTTACTAGAGTTTGAGTAAAGAAAGTTTATGAAAAATACTTGCCTCCTGTCATTTCTAAAATTAAGATTATAAATGTTAGCATAATCTACAATTGAAGGAACTGTCGTCTCTTCCTGGTCATGTATCAAAATGTACCCAGAGCACATCAAAGTGAGCGTAAGCCTTGGAGGCTATGAAGTCAATGAACAAATAGTGGAGTTTTGACTCTCTAATTGTTCACATATTCTTATAAACACTATATGTTACTATAAAATTGATGGTTAGTTCCCGGAATTCCACCCATTACAATATTCTTCACTGGTAGAACTACAATGATCGCAGGGTGTAGGTGTAAATTGGCCCCTTGGGACCTCTTGTTTCTCCGCATAACTTGCTACCTTGTTTTTGGCTGTGTTGTACAATGTAGCAGGGCAGTTCTACTTTCATTAAAGAACCAGGAAGAGTGTTTGGAAAGACAACAGTTCTGTTTTAACCCCGCCACTGTCAGGATACACTAATATGCTCAGCACGCAGAACTTAAGTAATAATTAAAGAAAACCCTAAAGCGGATTATCAGACCTTAGAACGGCCGGGTTTAATGTATAAAAAGAAAAATACAAGACAGGCCAGGAATACAGAGTGTACATAAACGGTAGGCAAGCCAAAGTTCAAGGAATAAAGAAGTCAGAGCAGTCAGGAAACAAACCCAGGCCAAAATACACAAGAATCAATACCAGAAATGTGCTCTCGGATAACCACAATGAAAACCATGACACTGAGAAATTATCACAAATGGTTTAAAAAGCTTAAGTTACTCTATGATTGGCTGCAGGAGAGCATGTGACATCACACGCATGTTCCCAGTGGTCAGGAACTAAAGGGTTAGCTAAGAACCTTAAAAGGTTCTGACTTTCAGCGGCCGGCGTCTCTAATAATTTCGGACCCGGCCACTGCGAGAGGGCAGGAACACTCATCGGGACCGAGACCATGCTCGGAGCAGGATCAGCAGGTTCCGCAGAAGCAGGTAAGTCTACATCGGTGACTTTTTTTTTTTTTTTTATATTTCATTTATCCATTCATTCTTTAACCCCTTAAGGACACATGACATGTGTGACATGTCATGATTCCCTTTTATTCCAGAAGTTTGGTCCTTAAGGGGTTAAAGAAAGATTGGGGGAATTAAAAGCTTTACACAATATTCCTTATCCTGCAGGATTCCTGATATAATTTTATAAAATCAAAAATACAATTGTTTTTACATGTACTAGGTGTGACAAAAACAGACAAATAAAAATGATCAGATACCCTGCTCATAGGTATTTGTTGGAATCCTTATGGCATGGCTAATAGTATAGCTTACTGAAAATGGCAACAGAATGTAAAAAGAATGTTTGCATTTGCGCATAATGTCCACATAAAATAAGTAAAGTTAAATCATATATTTCTAACATAAAAGTATTTTAAAAGGTTTTTATAGCAATCTCTGTACAATGTAATGCTTAGAGGGATACGAGAGATACCATTTACTCTCTGCTCGCTCACTGCAGAAATGGAACTAAAGGGTTAGCTAAGAACCTTAAAAGGTTCTGACCTTTACTGTTTGGAAGAAGTAGGCGGCTGTCATTTTCAGGACCTTTGCAGACATTAAGTTGGTGGAATGGACTCCTGGTAAGGAAATGAGTTTCTCTACAGACTGGTTTTTATTACTCCTGCAGTATAAATAACGTTGAGAGGTATGTGTAAGGAGCCTCGAAGGTGGCAGGGTAAATATCTAGATTTAAATCGTGCACATGATTCAGTAGATTGTGGCAACAAGATTGTAAACCAATATGCACACTTTAACTTTTTCATGGCCATAATATAGTTACGTTGTCTGCATGATCGACTAAGTTTGCAGCCAGCGGACCGGGGCTTCATTAAGCACCTTCTTCTCGCTTTTTGGCCTGGGTTCTGGTGGACTCGACCGGCTCCTTCCATCCAAATTACCTGTCTTGCTATCTTAATCTCAAAATAGTTAAACAACATAAACTATCTCATGGACATGATCTGCTAAATTGTGCACACGAGATAGTACAGCATGCGCACAATCTAAAAAAATGATTTACTGTGTTACCTCTGGGGCTCTGTATAAATGAAATTACAGCTGACTTGGAGAATTTTTACTCGTTTAATTTTTTTGTCTTAAAAATTGCAAATTCACATTGAATTCCCAACTATTCATTTTTTTTTTGTGAATAAATTTCTTAAAAATTAATATGCAGCACAATATGAAGTCCAGAACTGATTATGGTTCATTTGGAGATTATGGTAGGATATACAAGTAAATTGAACATGGAAAGGAGAGATAATTTTGTCATTTTACAAAGATGTATTAAATGAACATTTCTGGCAGGATATATGTATATATATATATATATATTAATATATATATAAAGATAGAGAGACACAATGAATTAAAATATTAATTATAAAACAAAGACATTATTATGATGTTATTATTTATGTAGCGCCAACAAATTCCGTAGCGCTGTACAGTGGGTGGACGAACAGACATGTAGTTGTAACCAGACAAGTTGGACACACAGGAACAGAGAGATTGAGGGCCCTGCTCAATGAGCTTACATTCTAGATGGAGTGGGGTAAAATGACATAAAAGGTAAGGATAGTATTAGACTAGTGACAGTTGCAAGAGGGGCCTTTCTTGTTTAGGTTCCCCCAAGGACCTGATTGTGCTCCAGTGATTTGTTGATGAAGTGCGCAAAAATAATCTGGTGCGTTTATTCGCTAAAAATTGTTAACTACTCTGTAGTGGTTATGGTGCATGGAGTGTTCATTTAAATTCTCATTACACTGGATATCACTAAAGGTAACTCATGTGTAGTAATCAGATTTTTTTTTAATTCTCTGGGTTTCAAATGACTGACAAACAGTGCTTCCTCCACAAACTATAATATGAATAAAATATTCTATAACAGTGATGGCAAACCATTGCCTCTGCAGCCATTGTAAGGGCAGGATGTGTTGGTGGAGCATCACGGGAAATGTAGTCCAAGAGCCCTCACTGACTCAGACTGTGGCAGCAGGCGCACGCTCCGCTCAGCCTACCGAGTGACGTCACGACGCCAGCGCGCGAATTTCCAAACCTGGCAAACGTGAGGTCCCGGAAGTGAGAGGACAGGAGGACGAAGACACCGGGTGGGAGATGCCGCAGGTGCAGGTGGCCGGTCTGTCCGTGGACTTCCCGTTCACGCCCTACAAATGTCAGGAGGATTATATGGGCAAGGTGCTCGAGTGTCTGCAGAAGGTGGGTCCCATGGAGACTGAGAGCACCAAGATGGAGGATGGAAGGGGACCCTCCACTCACTCCAGCACATACACCATGGGATTCTTTACTGCAGGAGGTCACTGTCAGGCAGGAAGGGAGGGGGCCCATGGTCCTCTGTGAGGGAACAGCATTGTGTTAAGCTGGTGGTCTTCAGTCATGTACAATGAAAAGAGGGGGCTTCTCTCTAATATTAAAGGACCACTCTAGGCACCCAGACCACTTCAGCTTAATGAAGTGGTCTGGGTGCCAGGTCCAGCTAGGGTTAACCCATTCTATAAACATAGCAGTTTCAGAGAAACTGCTATGTTTATAATAAGGTTAATCCAGCCTCTAGTGGCTGTCTCATTGACAGCCGCTAGAGGGCTTCTCACTTGACGCCAGCGTTCATAGGAAAGCATTGATAATGCTTTCCTATGGACTGGCTGAATGCGTGCGCGCATTTTCAAGCTGTTTGACCAAAACTGGGGGGTCTCTAATACCCCGCTTCCACTGAGCAGTTTGGGTTGGTACAGTCTGGTACGCTATTTTGAGTGTTTCCATTATGAAAGTGGCCCATACAACCGAATGAAACCGCACCATTCCTGGGCCCCCTTCAGATGTAGGTCTATATGAAATTGTACGGTACGGTTTGGGCGGAGCTACTGGCGTCACTCTATACAATCCATTGATTGGCAGACAGGAAAACGTCAATGCTCACGACAACTGACATGCTAGGCATTTGGTCTAAACCCTGCATGCTTGCAGTGGAAATGCTTACCTGAATAGGCTGGACCATTCTAACCCTTCTGATCCGTACCGACCCGACCTATTCCGCTCAGTGAAAACGAGATATTAGGCACCTACGGAGTTACACCATCACATTAGCAAAATCATGTATATTAAACAGTCTGAGGACTTTGCAGTATTTGGACATGCAAGGTGCTTAGAGCACCATGGCTCCTTTCTCTTGTCTGAAAGTGGCTTAAAGCAGCAACAGTTTTCTTAACAGCCAACTGGTTTCAGCTTTTCTAATATCAATGATTTCCCTATTGTACATGTACCATGCGTATGTTGTACGCAGTACAAAGAAATTTCTCCCTAAACAGATCCAAACTGGGAACAGGGCGTGTGTGGTCTGTGGCTTTTTTGATGATAAAATCCATACCAGGCCACTAATCAGTGAAACAAACTCTATAAGCTTGTATCAGCACATTGTGTGTTTCCAATCCTCTTGTGTGATGATTGGAAAAGTGAGATGAGGATAAACTATTCATATCAGCTGGTTAGAGCAGTGGTATTAGCCATTGGCAGTTTGAAATCCAGGTTAAAAACACCTTCTGTCATTTACTTGAGTCCAGTGCCGAAGGATTTCTCCATAGGAAAGCATTATACAGTGTTTCCTATGGGGAATTCGATGACACTGGATGTCCTCATGCATAGCGTGAAGACCTCCAGTGTCATGTCACCAAAAGTTGCCTAACAGCCTGGAAGTCCCTCTAGAGGCTGGAGTTACCCCACAAAGCTAATTATTGCAGTTTTTAAAAAAATAATAATTAGCTTTGCAAAATTAATGGTGCTGGGACTATGCACCCAGCTGAAGTGGTCTGGGTGCCTACAGTGTCCCTTTAATAAATCTCACTGGGATTTATTCACTAAACTCAAATGGCAAAATCTAGGCTAATTTAACCAAGCTATTAATCTTCACCAGTTAGGTAATATAGAACCAAATTGAATTCTATAAAATTACTTTTTCTTAGCCTCTTCCTAACTCTGCTGCAATTGAAGATTGTTAGCTTTAGTGTACTAATAATCTTAATTTTAATGACAGGAGGCGAGTAATTTGCATAATCTTTCTTTACTAACTACCATAGCAGCAAAGAAAAAGTGATAACTGAGAACCAATCACAATGCAGTATAGGCTATGAGGCGTGTCATATTACATCATTTCCTCTTAACTAATGCGACATCACAAGTCCATAATACAGGATAACCGTAGAAAAAACATGTATAACTTGAACAGGAAACAGGTAGAGATCCAAACTAGGACGTCTTGAGTTCAAACGATGATCTTCAATGACGTAATGATGATGAAACCTTGAACGGAGTCTTTAATAGTCCCTGTTGGTTTCCGATTAAACTGAAAAGAGAATATAAAAAGGTATTAGATTCCAAAAGTGGTTGTGTAAAAGCAATGAATATCTATCCCTTAAGATTAATAAAACAATAACGTCCTCCCGTCTAACAGTACTAACTAAATAGCCCACCTACATTGAATATATACATTAAGTCCTTGATGGGCAAAAGCTAGACACTAATACAGTAATAGAAGAAACAAATGCTATAGATATATATGAAAAACAGAGGGAGGGAAGAACGAAAGAGAGTAGGGAGGGAAAATACTCGCCTCCTGTCATTATTAAAATTAAGATTATTAGTACACTAAAGCTAACATAATGTTCAATCTTACCACATGACAGGAGGCTTCATATTTTGCAATTTCTTTTGTAAATATCTTTTTATTAAACCTTTTCGTTTTTGTCAATTTTGCAACATGTCAAAGAGAAACATGGACTCGCAGGTCCCTCTGGTCATTCACAGAAGCTTATACATCGGAAGGCATGTGATGACATACGTGTCTGGGCGACTCGCAGGTCGCTTTCTTGAGTAAATAGCATGTGTATTGTGGACTCGCAGGTCCGGTGTTACATGGTGGTGCTTAGTACTCTGTTATATTTGATATATACCATTTCTACGTTGGGTGGTTTTGCATGCCCCACCGTGGTTTTGCTTTGTTTGTCTATTCCCCATGCCTACCCAGTAGCCTCTAGGCAGTAGTGAGACATGTGGCCATGTGGTGTGCAGCCCCCCAGTGACCTTGTGTCCAGGGTCCAACCTGGCCTTATTGTGGGGTGTTGGCCCCCTGCCATAGTATAATTTGGTTCTGCCCAGCGGCATAGGTGGTGTTGGTGGGAATAACCTAAGGGGCATCCTGCGACTCCCTCCTAACTAATGAGCTTTATAGCTCACAAAACAGGCGCTCTTCCACCCCCTTTACTCGCGAGGCCGCAGTCCGCCCCGAGCCCCGCAAGTGGTCGCACCCTAGCAGGTGTCGCGGCCCTCCCCTGCGCCGCCCCCCGATATTTTGCAATTTCAACGCTGAGAAAAGTAGAGCAAAAGCTGGATTAGATGGAGGACGGAAGTAGAATTTCCTAAAGGTGGATTCTCTAGTCCAGTCCGCTGCTCGCAAGATATCTGGAAGGGAGGCACCGGCCGCGGCCCCGCGAACAGAGTGTGCTCCAAAAGCTTGGTCAATCCCGGCAAGGGCTAAGAGCCATCTGGCCAACGTAGTGACCGAGACTGGACCGTAGGGGCGGACGTAAGAGATAAGAAGTTGACGATTGTAAGTAGGCCGCAACGTCGCGGTAGCGTCCACGTATTGATGGAGAGTAGAGACCATGCAGAGCTGAAGGTCTGATGGGAAAAAAGGGGTAAAATACAGAGGAAGAGTCTGACTTTGTGCGTCTAGAGACCTGGAAGGTTACACCCGCTGGGCAAAAGGTAAATGCGCCGACGTCAAAAGCGCGTACATCGGACACCCGACGAAAGGAGACCAGGCAGAGCAGGAAGGTGAATTTTTGCCGTAAGCTGGCGGAGTGATAATTTCTCGTTGGGAGGCCAGTCCCGTAAAAACTGTAAGACAATGCCAACGTCCCAAAGTCTTGGGGGGGCGCCGAAGGCGCATGCCGCGGAGGAGTCTACAGATGAGCAGGTCCTAACCAACAGGTGTCCCTTGAGTCGGAGTATGTGCCACTGAAATGGTTAAACATCACGTTGATAGACTGGTATGATTTTCCGGCTGTGAATAGGGAGGTGAGGAAATTCATGATGGAGGGAATAGGTGCAATAAAGGGGTTGAAATCATGTCCCAGACACCAAGTTGTCCAGTAGTGGTATGCTGATACGTAGCACCTCATTGTTCCTGGTGCCCATGAATCCCATAGGAGATCCCTAGTTTCCTGCGATAAGGCCTTGGTTCGCCAGGAACCCCGGAAAGAGTCCAGGCCTCCAGAGGAAGCCGTTCCTCCCTGACCAGCGGGTGGGGTAGTCCCATTGGGTTCCTGAGGACAGTCGGAGTATCTGGTAGGAGGAGGGGGATCCCTGTTCGACAGTTCCAGAAGGTCCGGGAACCATGGTTGGCTCTGCCATAGTGGCGTGATGAAGGTCAGCATCACCCTCTGTATGTGGATCCGGTGAAGGACTCTCGTAATCATTGAGAACGATGGGAATGCGTAAGCTCCGCATTGTGGCCATTGTTGCAGAAAGGCGTCCGTTGCTAGGCTCTCCGGGTCTGGGAGCCAGCTGAAGAAGTCCTTCGTCTGTCGATTTTGTTGTGGGAAGCAAATCTAGGGAGAAGGGACCCCTCTGCGCATCCTGTATCGAGAAAATAGGATCTAGTTGCCAGTCGCTGGCGTCTCGCCAGTGGTGTGAGTACCAATCTGCTGTCATGTTGGATTCTCCCGGTAGATGTTCTGCTATCAGCGTGATGTTGCGTGGTAGGCAATAATCGAAGATCTCCTTCGTGAGTTCTACTAGTGCTTGGGAACATGTGCCCCCGAGGCGGTTGATGTATCTTACCGCCGAGACATTGTCCATCCGGAGCAAGATACAGCAGTTGGATCGTTCCTTCACCAGGCTGCGTATGGCGAACGATCCTGCCAGGAGCTCCAGACAGTTGATGTGCATCAAAAGTTCTTGGGGGGTCCATACTCCTCCCGTGGAAGAGGTTCCGTCTGTTGCTCCCCAGCACGAAGTCTGGCTCGTTTCCGAATATGGCCCGGCTGTTCCAGGCCTGCATGCGGTTCAGCCACCAGCGCAATTCCTCCCGAACCTCGTCCGACATAGGGACCAGTTGGTCGTATGTTGGGTTTATGCGAACGAATTTGGCCTTGAGGCGTTGCATGGCCCTGTAATGCAGGGGTCTGGGAAAAATGGCCTGGATGGATGAGAAAAGTCACAGGGATATGGATGTCAGTCGAAGGACTTTCCGAATTTCTCTTCGGATGGCGGCAATCTTTGCGGCTGGGAGGTGTAGAGTGCACTGTGTAGAGTTTATCTCGAATCCTAGGAATTGGACGGACTGAGCCGGGATCATTGAAGACTTGGGGCGGTTGATAACGAAGCTCAGTGACTCGAGTAGGTGTACCGTGTAGTCTGTGTGCCTCCTTAGGGTCCCTGCATCGTCGAAGATCAAAATGCCGTCGAGGTAAATGATGCATCTTATGCCGTTGGCCCTGAGTTTCGCCATTACTGGCTTCGTTATCTTGGTGAAACACCACGGGGCCGAACGGGAAGTAGGTGAATTGCCAAGGTGTCCCGTGCCAGTAGAAACGGAGATAGGAGCGGCTCCTTTCGTGCACCGGGATGGTAAGGTATGCGTCCTTGAGGTCTAGACGCGTGAACCAGTCGTTGTCTCGAAGCAGATCCCGGAGAAGGTGGATACCCTCCATTTTGAAATGGCGGTACACCACGTGGGAATTGAGCTTCCTAAGGTTGATGACTGGGTGGAATTCCCCGGTTTTCTTCCTGACCTGGAAGATATTGCTGTAGAACCCATTTGAGTCCGGAGCTGGTTGGATGGCACCCTTGGAATGTAAGTTTTGCAGTTCCGAGTCTATTAAACAGGCATCCGCCCGCGTAAGTTGGATTGGCGTGGTGGAGCCCGTTGGAGCGTGATTGTCTTGAATTCTATTTGATAGCTCCGCACTGTCCGGACTATCCATGTGTCTGAGGATAGTTCTGCCCAATTTTGGGGGAAAAAAAGAAACACGACCTGCGATATGGGAAGAGGTTAGAGGTAGGGTAGAATGGTGACTTACCGTTTGGAGAATCTCGCCTGGGAGCGTCCTCAGCCGCCACGTCCACAATCCGATCCCTTGGACTGTTGGAATCGATGTCGGGTAGACGAATCCGGGTAGAATGGCTGTGCCCTGGTTGTGCGGGGGCCGGATGGCCAGAAGCGGCTGGTGGCACGGCCCCTCTGCCGACCAGCCCTCCCAAAAACACCTTGGGTGCTAGGGCCGTGGAATACTTTCCACATTGATGTTTGCGCTTTGTTGAGGGACATAAAAATATTGACCCTCTTATTTAGTAATTCCTCAGTAATTCCACAGCTTGCCCTGTGCCAAAAGGCCCTATTCCTTATCCCTCAGTTCGACAAGTTTGTCGTCAATACGGAAAAGTGCTGCTCGGCGCCTTTCCGAAGAGAGGGCCACGTTAGTGTTCCCGAGGAAGCAGAAGCACCTCTGTGCCCACTCTCGGGTATCTCGTGCCCACTCACGCACCATATCTGGGGTAAAGTCATCAGCCGTCTCATAGGTGTCACCCGCCATGTCCATGATCCTTGCTAGTGGCCCGACGGCGTCTAGCAGTTTGTCTTGGGCTCCTTTAAAGTCGCGTTCCACGCCCTTGCGTGGGTCCCGACCCCCACGGGACATGAATGTTGTCATGAGAGGATCAAATTCGGGGGTATGTGCTACCTTGTCTGGTAGGATCGGGCGAGGGCATTCTGACCTCATACGTTTCCTCACGGAGCCAGAAGTGCATGAATCTGCCCAGGTGATCGGGTGGTGTCCATTCTTCTGAACGGGGATGGCGAATGTTCCTGGGATCAAACATTCGGAGGCCTGAGTTGTCTTGGAATATCTCTATACCCTCTTGTGGGTTATCCATGGTCGTGGCCATGGAGTCCTGGGGCTCACCCAGGGTCTGTTCCCTTACGAGATAAGGGTCAGAGTTTGCAGCGGAGTCGGCAAGTGCATGTGTTGGCCCTGCGACTTCCCCAGAGGAAGCCTGAGCGGGTCCCTGGGCCGAAAGGCTCATGGCTCTTTTGCGTTTAGCAGGGGCCTTTCCTTTGGACTTACGTGGTCCAATGGCCTCGCCTTTCCAGTGGCGCTTAGGAGGGTGGGTGCGTTCTCTGGAGGAATCGGAGTCCTCAGAATCCGCCCAATAATGAGCCCGCATGGAGATGGGCTTAGGTGCGTCCTGTTCCGACTGGAACGACTTAGCCAAGGCCTTTTCCATAGATGCAGCTACAGCAATCATGGCCTTGAGATCTGAGGGATTTTTTGTGATTCTTCCATGGTCTGGAATCAACACTCTGTGCTCACCCGGTGGAATATGCGTGAGGGCTCTTGGGCACAAATAACTGTAGAGGCCTTGGGACCAGGGGGTGGTATGGTAGTTGGTAATGGTTAACCTGAGAGGATATGTGACTGGTAGGTCGGAGTAAGGTGGTGAGAGGGCTGTGTCACTGGGGCTCACCAGGAAATCGGAATCCTGCATGGACAGGTCCGTTCAGCAGCACATGAATGGGGGCTCACCCCGGCCAGGATAAGGGATAGTCCAACTGGCTTAAACCAACCCCAAGTGCAAGGCACTAACCTGACCTGATCCTACTCTGAGCTATGAGAAGGAGGCAGAGTTCTTGAAGAGTGTTCCAGAGTACCTGGCAGAGAAGTAGCTGGAGTCTGCAACAGAGTAGCAGTAGCCGTTTAAAATGGCCGCCGGACTGAAAAGCAGTTGAAATGGGGAGGTTTAGTACCTTCCCTAGAGTTAGGACGGCAAAGGGAATTGCCCGAGCGCAAGCGCCAATAAATGGCGCGGGCGTTCTGTGCACGAATAGACTAACGCGAGCGCCTAATACAAGGCGTTCACAGGGAAATTGCCGAACAATAAGCGTTCGGCAAATGAAACGTACCTTCACGATTGAAGGTAAGATAATGCCATTCGCGAAGCGAAAGGACGTGCGATCAATGGTAAAAGGCGGGGAAAAAAATGCGAAGAGACGTCTGGCTCTTGGGAGGTGTGGAGAAAAAACGTTGAGAATGCCCGTAAGTCCTCTTGTAAACCCGGTTAGGGGAAACTACAGCTGAAGGGTCCGAGCCAGGAGGGGCGTCCCTGGAGTGAGGGAAAGGCGGAAAGAGCCCAGAAACAGAGGGGGTTAGCCCCAGAGAAATGAAGGTCAATAGAGTAACAGGAGAAATACAAGCTGGGTAGTAATAGAATATGATACAAGCTAGAAAATATGATATAAATAGAGAAGTATGAAGGACAGAGAGGAGAAACCAAAATCTGTACTTATCTTGTAATGGAGCAGCAAAGAAAGAGGAAATTATGTAATATGACACGCCTCTTATATCCTATACTGCATTGTGATTGGTTCTCAGTTTTCACTCTTTTTCTTTGCCTCTATGGGAGTTAGTAAAGAAAGATTATGCAAAATACGAAGCCTCCTGTTATGTGGTAAAATTGCCTGGAGTCTGATAAATATGGTGTGCCTTTTCTGACAGTTGACAACCCACTGAAATGGCATGGGGTTCCAGCTGGGAAAATTAAAAGCCAGCCAACAGCTTTCATATCTTCAGGCTGTTAATTTCCAGATGTCATATCATATTAATGTGGACTGACTCAACGTGGTTTTCTGCCTCTTCTGTTCGTGATCTTAGTGCCCATTTACTATGCCTTGTTATCAAACCTAAGAAGTAGTTTATCCCATCTGGAAAAGTGAAAGCCTCCCTTCATACCTGGATATATTTTGTGTTACATATTTTAATCAAATTTCAAACTCCCAACTAGATGGACAGTTTTGAAATGAATTTGGCTCTAGCTCATTTTCATATTTTCACTGCTTGGCTAGACCTTGCCAACATGACGTCCCATGGTGTGTGCATGGAAATCGCCATTCTCTGCCAATCCAGTGCCTATCATACATAAGCATTGGATTTCACTAGGTGACAGCTGGAAACGTGTCTAAGGACTTTTACAAAAGTGTCAATCCCTCGTGAAATATTCAGGGAAGTAAGGCAAAAGAGATTTGGGAGTTAGTAGTACAATGACCCCGTTTTGGATGTTTTAATTTTATCTTTTATTTACTAATCGTTACGTAATGTGAGTTCATCCAAATCTTATATGACACCAGGAGAGGGCGCTCTCAACATTTCATTTTTTCTTTCAAAACATTACAACCAACAGAAATGCATTTAAGTATCTTTTGTAATTTTTAAAAAAAATTTTTTTTTTGGCTAAAAGCATTACTGACTGTCATTAAAAAATCAGCAACAAGGGAATGTATAGAATGCACTTTTCTTCATTTTCTTCACTTACTTTTCTTTGTAACTGTTGGATTCTCATGCACAGTAGTTAGAAAATGTTAGTGTTGGTAAATCTAAGAACACATATGGGCAACTTATTTGTATTATTTTGAATTTTATGCTGTTCTTTAATTTTTTCGAAATGAAATTGAATTGTACATTTTAATTAAAAACATCTAATCTATATGTTAGAGCAGTGGTTCCCAACATAGTCCTAAAGTACTCCCTAACAGTCCAGGTTTTTGGGATTACCCAGTTGTGTCTACAGTGTTTTTTAGAGTAAAAACAAAACACTTTAGACAACAGGGTAGTCCCTAAGTCCTGGACTGGTAGGAGGTACTTAAGGACTGGGTTGGAAACTCCTGTGCTAGAAGTTTGGTTATCTTAAATGTGTATTTGGAAAATAAACGCTAAATGAAATCTTACATTTATACACAAACAAACAAGATTTAGATTTACTTTATACTTAGATCTTTACATATAACAGACTATTATTGTGCATGTTTGCAGGGTGTGAATGGAGTTCTGGAGAGTCCCACGGGAACGGGAAAGACTCTTTGCCTGCTGTGTGCCACCCTTGCATGGCGCCAGCACTTTAAGGATGGGATCAGCGCCCGTAAGATTGCGGAACGCATGAATGGAGCCGAACTGTTTCCTGACCGTCCGATATCCACCTGGGGGAATACAGACACCAGTGGTCAGGGCTCAGGTACAAGTCTTATTCTGAGAACATGTTGCCTTCTCTCTTTGCTTCACTCTCTCCAGAAAACCACCTCTATTTAGTATATTTTTTAATTAAACATATAGGTGCTCTAGATTACCTCCTTTGTCATTCTTTATATAAACTTAAGACCCTGCTGTTCTCCAGCTTATTACAGTGACATTCCCAAGATTATCTACGCCTCCAGGACCCATTCTCAGCTGACGCAGGTTATAAGTGAGCTGAAGCACACGTCCTACAGGTAATGGGTATTGCTGTGTGTTGGACGGGGTAGCAAAGTTACATTCTAAGCTTAAAGACTATTAGAGTAATTGATCTTTGGAGAGCTGTTTTTCACCGTGGGTTGTAATTATGGAATGGGTATTTTGGCTAATTTCCTGGAAACTATTGCTTTTTTTAACTTAAGGACCAAACTTTTGGAATAAAAGGGAATCATGACATGTCACACATGTCGTGTCCTTAAGGGGTTAAAGTTGTTTTTTTTTTGTTTGTTTTTTTTAAATGTAGAGAGGCCAGATGTCTATTCCATAGCATGCTCTGTGTATGTGTAATGTGTATCATGTGAGGGGCCAGAGCTTATTCAATGTAGCCTCTTCCCTTTTTAATAAAAAAAAATAAATAATAATTTTGAAATCTTTTTCCTCTAGGCCCAAAGTTTGTGTTCTCGGTTCTAGGGAGCAACTGTGTATCCACCCCGAGGTGAAGAAGCAGGAGAATAATCATGTTAAGGTAACTGTTAGTAAGGGAAAGCACAGTATGGGCAAAATGTCTCCAGTATTAATAGCTCTCCAGTAAATGTCCTGTCAGGCAAAACTTCTAATACAGGGGTCCACGCTCACAGATCTGCACCGACACTGATAATCACTCCCATACTCACTTATACATACAAGCACTCCTTTAATTTAGCTTGGCCATGTGGCGTCTTTATGAAGAGGGCGCTTCTAATAGGACCCTCCATTGTTATTCTGGCCCAAAGTGTGTAGTCAGGGAGCAGAGTATGATCTGCCTTATTCCTGCCTCTTCACACACAATACACAGCATTGTGCATCACATCCTCTGAGTCTGGCAAGTGATGCCACTAAGCTACATTAGTGGGGAAGCAGCCAGTACCTCAATTGTTAGACTCTCTGGATACCTGGTTACATTTGCCAGATGTCTGGTGTCTGACTGGACAATCTAGTAATTGAAGTGCCAGCAGCTTCCCTCCTATGCTGTAGGCCGCATGAAATGGTTAGGAGACTGCAAATGGTCCGCTGCCCAGTAGTTTCAGACCCTTGCTCTAATATCCAAGCTGTAGGAGGCAAATCGGCTACCCTGTTATGGCCGTTCTTTTGGTAATTGGAGATTGGTGTCCAGGAAAACATGGTGGATCTGTTAAGTGTGAATGCCCTTTTTTCTTTTTACCTTTTTCCTTATAAAAAATTTAAGCAGGTGCAGAATTAACCAATAACAAGTGAAAGAAATAATAAAGTGTCTGAAATATGCACCTTAGCTTGGCATAGGCATGTGCACGGGGAAAATTTTCGGTTTGGTTCAGGACTTCCGCACTTAGGGACTTCCGCAACTTTGACACTTCGGGACTTCTCTTGCAGCCGCTTAGTAGATAACTCCCTAATTCCCACGGTATTAGGGAGTTATCTACCAAAAGGCTTAAAGACCTAAATTGGTCTTTCAGCCAAATTTACTAATATTAGGTAAATATTACTTAGTATTAGTAAATGATCTGCCCCTACTCGCTATACCGCGAGTAGGGGCATGTCTATTAAACAGTGAGCAGCCTGTGGCTGCTCACTGTTAAAAATAAAAAATAGGGTCCCTCACCCGCGACGCGACCTATTGTCCTCCCATCTGGCCCCCACCCCTGAGCGGTGAGTGGGGGCCCTACAGTAAAATAAGGGGGGGGGAAACCTAATGTCCTCCCCCCTGAGTGCCGGATGGGGACCCTAAATACTAATAGGGAGGGGGGACCTAATGTCCTCCCCTCTGGCCCCCACCCCTGAGTGGCGGGTGGGGGCCCTAAATTGGATTAAGGGGGGGACCTAAAGTCCTCCCCTCCTGAAGATGGATTATTTTTTTGCGCTCCTTTTTATTTATTTATTTTTTTAAGTGCGTCGGTTATTATGGATTTTTTTATTTGACCTTTTTTGGGGGCTGAAAAAAGATTTTAGAAGAAAGAAAACATCAAATGATAAGTTTTATTTTTTAGTTAAAGGTCCCTCCTTCATTTTTAGGGTGAGGGTGGTAGGTAGGTGTTAATTTATTTATTAAAAAAATAAAATTTGGGGGGGGGGAGTGGCGGCAAGGGGGGAGGACATTAGGTGTCCCTCCCCCTTATTCCAATTTAGGGCCCCCACCCACCGCTCAGGGGTGGGGGCCAGGGGGGAGGACATTAGGTCCCCCCCCTTATTAGTATTTAGGGCCCCCCACCCACCGCTCAGAGGTGGGGGCCAGGACATTCGGTTCCCCCATCTTATTCTAGTTTAAGGCCCCCACCCACCGCTTAGGGGGGAGGACATTAGGTCTCCCCCCCCACCTTATTTTACTATAGGGCCTCCACCTGCCGTTCAGGGGTGGGGGGCGGGGGGGCAATAGGTCTCCCCTTCATGTTAGAAGTCCCCACTCCCGCAGCACGGGTGGGGGTTCGGGAGGGGGACGACTACCTTTTTTTGTTTTTGTTTTTTACAGCGGTATAGCGAGTAGGGGCATAATTTACTAATACTAAGTAATCTTTACTTAGTATTAGTAAATTTGTCTGAAAGACCAATTTAGGTCTTTCAGCCTTTTAGTAGATAGCTCCCTAATACCGTGGGAATTAGGGAGTTATCTACTTATTCATTCCTGTCATTACACTGACTGGCTAAGTAACTTACATTTTATATGAATGTATGTTACTTGATTGTTGTAAGTGTTGCAAATGCTTACAGCTGAATCCTGGCTATGTTTGTATACTTTTTATTTAAAATTGTATACAGTGTAACATTCTTCATTCTTCCACTGGGTAAGTATATTAGTTCTTAGGCAATACTGTGCTTCGGCACTTCGGCAATTCGACACTTCAGAAATTCGGTAATTTTGGAACTTCGGGACTTCAACCATTCAGCAATTCATCTATTCAGATATTCGGAAGTACCCGAAGGTCCGAATTGCCCGAAATTCGTCCGAATTCACATTCGGACCGAAACGAATTGCGCATGTCTAGCTTGGCAGACATTGGCTGATGTAGAATCTCACAGAGAGAAATCTTAGAGGCAAAGAGATTGCAGATTATTGGAGAAAACTAGATAAGGTGTGAGAAGAAGAAAAAAAAAACTGCGGGGAGAATCATATTGCATTACTGTCTGTTGGTGTCTGTAATTATGCTTTAGCCATTGTTATGTTTTTTTTATTTTTTTATTTATTTTTCTAGTGCATGGGTGAGTTAACAAGCTAACAGTGACATTTTCAAGTGAAAAAATTAATAAATTCAGTACAATGAGATTGAGATCAAGATTGTCGTGAAATGTCAGCAGTACAGCACTTTCTTTTTTTTTTTTTTAAATAACATGAAAGAACAATGATGGAAACTATACAGTGCGTATGAGTGATCCTAAAACCAGTTGTTATAGTGATTACATATCGTAGGTACTGATACTGATTGCCACCAATAACAAGCTTAGTCAAATACATATAGGGTAAGGTGAAGGTGAAGTGACCCCTAGGTCTCACAGCAGTGCTTATTTCTGCATCGCTTTTGCTTGGGATTAAAGGTACTTGCATGTCTGAGCCTTGGGTTGTAGGTAGCTTATTAGTGTGGAGAGGTGCCTAAACTTTCACATCAGCTAATATTGCTAAGAGAATATAGAGTGAGTCTGGCATATAGGAGTTGCTAGCTTTTGCGGAGAGGATAGCTATTGCATAGTGGAGCGGGGAATCACACCGCCAAACGATAGTATCGTAATAAAACAGGTGTGGATATCATGTTAATTGCTGGCACATATCAATCGTAGGGTCATATTAATTATGGGCACCTATTAATTAGTCATTGACACATATCTATTCTGGGTACATATTAATCAGTCATTGGTGCATGTCTCACTGGAGGTTGCTCTCTGCATCTTAGTTTGAATTGTCCTGATTGTCTCTGGACTCTGCACGCATTGCAAGTGGCTGTTCTCAGCGCCAGTCAGCCGATCCCTCTTGTGGGCCATGCTGGGGGTGTCTCCGCGTGGCATCATCTGTGCAGTGCAGGTGTCAGTTGTTGATTATACCCCAGCAGGTGTCTTGGGAGGTTGTTGCGGTGGTACAATGACCGATCAGGTCCCCTCGTCCCGTTTAGTGCGGGAATCACTGCCCAGTGTCCCTGTGCTGCTCCTCCACGCTTGGTTGGGCAGTGTGCCTTCTGGAACTCCGTTTTCTTGGAGGCCCTCCTGGTGTGTGGACGGTGGGACTGACTGTGGTCCTGCCTGCCATGAAGGAGGTTTGTTGCTTCGGGCAGTTGCTTGAGACCGTTGTTTGCTGCGCAGGGTTGAGCAGCATTGTTGGTCCTGTGGGCGCTGGGGCTTGTTTGCAGCGGCCATTTTATGACCTCCTCGTGGGTGCTTTGAGGAGCAGATGCCTTGTTGTTTCTCAGCATTTTGTTGTGTGCGCCGTTCAAGCTTGTGCCAGAAAGCTTCAAAAATCGCTTCTAGCCTAGCTGAGTAATCCGCTTGTTCAGAGTGGTTATTAGCTGTTTTTCCGCCCTCTCCTCGGGTTGCTTGGACTCAGCTCTGACGGCAGTCCGAGGGGTACTGCGAGTCTGTTGTGTTGCAGGCTGTGTTGTGGGGGTAATCGTCCCCAGCGAGGACCGAGATATCCCCCACCGGTCCATAGGGGGTGGTAGCAGGGCTATGCTGAATTCTTGTGGGTGAGCATGTCCCACGCTGGGGGATCGGCCGCCTCCTCCAGACGCTAGGCCCCGCTCCAGGTTAGGCCGCATGGCCGGCTCAGAAACTCTCGTGGCGTACCGAGTCAAGACAGGCATCCTCCCGTTTCTCGATCGGTCCTGCATCGCATCCTGGGCACCGTGAGCAGCTGTTGATAATAGTTTGGTCGGAAAAGGCTTAATTGTGCCTGCTGGAGCTCTCACTAATTGCGACCGGCCATCTTGGCTGTCGGCCCCGCCCCCGTTATGGCTTTTTTTTTTTTTTTTAATGCTCGTCCCTTCCATATTGCAAGGCGAGATCTGTTTAGTGGTCGTCTTGAGCTAATTATACCTGATCACACATTCAAATATTATGCCTGACTTTCGACTGTCCCATTTCTTTTAGGTCCACATGTGCCGTTCTAAAGTGTCCAACAGGTCCTGTCACTTCTACAATAATGTGGAAGGTGAGTCTGCTTGGAGAGCTTCTTAACAGAGCCATGGTTTTTGGGGAGATAAGGATATTTTTCAGATTTAGGCCTTCATTGTAATATCATAGATGGATCTGTGTGAAGTAGAAGCCAGACTTGAATATGAGCTGTGATATTTTTCATTATTACTAGACCGGTTTAAAAAATTTCAGAAATGCGCATGTTTATACTGGTGTACACTACCAGGGAGTAGTTGGAGAAATTATATTCTGTGCTCATGTCACTTTTCCTTCAAGAAAAGAGTACAGAGAAGGACTTGACAAGCCACATCCTGGACATTGAGGATCTAGTGAAGAGCGGCACCAAGCATAGGTGAGCTATACATCGTGATTTTGCTAGATCTATGCTTCTACTCCGATAGTGTAGTGAATTCTAGATCCATTGTTTGTTTTTTGTCTTGCAGGGCCTGTCCTTACTACCTGTCCAGGAATCTGAAGCAGCAAGCAGACATCATCTTTATGCCCTATAACTATCTTCTGGACCCCAAGGTACATATATTACATAGCTGAAAAGAGACTTGCGTCCATCAAGTTCAGCCTTCAATTTTTATTTTTATTTATTTTACCATGTAGCAGAACAAAAACAAAATAGAAAACTAAAATGTATATATCATAAATGGACATGCACAAAGGACAGCCATTCCAGTGGTTAAACCTCTAATGCCTTCTACACTGAGTTCCCAGGTGGCCTGACTGTAGATATTATTTTTCTCTCTCCTCAGAGTCGTCGAGCCCACAATATTGATTTGAAAGGGACGGTTGTCATATTTGATGAAGCTCACAATGTGGTAAGATTTTTGTTCAGTTCCGTTTGCATGACTCCCAGAGAAGGCATTTCCTGATATATTTTTCACACTATTACTGTTCTGCATCCATCACAACAGTCCTGACATTGATCTCCTTGTTTGATCACGTTAACCCTAGGAGCGAATGTGTGAAGAGTCTGCCTCCTTTGACCTTGCACCATACGACTTGGCTTCTGGCATTGATGCCATCAACATGGTCCTTGATGAGCAGACAGAAGCTGCAGAACACAATCTTATCAGGTCTGAATTCAATATGGAAACCCCAAGCTCTGGTAAGTGCAATGTACGAACTGATATCTGCTAGGAATGACCCTCTCATTCTTTGGAATTCTACTTGAGAGAGTAGATTGTTACATCAGCAAATATAACTTTCTTTGTACTTTCAGGTCTAAACATTGAGATTGAAGACCTTGCAAAGATAAAAGGTGGGTATTGCTGTCCTCCACACACACACGTCCTTCTCACTGTATCCCACCTTCATCCCAATGCCAATGGATAAAATACCATCTTTTTCTCATGTTCTATGTACAAGAAATTTATATATTTATACACTGCTCAAAAAAATAAAGGGAACACAAAAATAACACATCCTAGATCTGAATGAATTAAATATTCTTCTGAAATAAATTGTTCTTTACATAGTTGAATGTGCTGACAACAAAATCACAAAAATTCAAAAATGGAAATCAAATTTTTCAACCCATGGAGGTCTGGATTTGGAGTCCAAGTTGAAAAATTCACTACAGGCTGATCCAACTTTGATGTAATGTCCTTAAAACAAGTCAAAATGAGGCTCAGTAGTGTGTGTGGCTTCCACGTGCCTGTATGACCTCCCTACAACGCCTGTGCCTCCTCCTGATGAGGTGGCGGATGATCTCCTGAGGGATCTCCTTCCAGACCTGGACTAAAGCATCTGCCAACTCCTGGACAGTCTGTGGTGCAACGTTGGTGGATGGAGCGAGACATGATGTCCCAGATGTGCTCAATTGGATTCAGGTCTGGGGTACGGGTGGGCCAGTCCATAGCATCAATGCCTCTGTCTTGCAGGAACTGCTGACACACTCCAGCCACATGAGGTCTAGCATTGTCTTGCATTAGGAGGAACCCAGGGCCAACCGCAAGAAATGCCACCCCACACCATTACTGACCCACTGCCAAACCGGTCATGCTCCAGGATGTTGCAGGCAGCAGAACGTTCTCCACGGTGTCTCCAGACTCTGTCACGTCTGTCACATGTGCTCAGTGTGAACCTGCTTTCATCTGTGAAGAGCACAGGGCGCCAGTGGCGAAGTTGCCATTCTTGGTGTTCTCTGGCAAATGCCAAACGTCCTGCACGGTGTTGGGCTGTAAGCACAACCCCCACCTGTGGACGTCGGGCCCTCGTACCACCCTCATGGAGTCTGTTTCTGACCGTTTGAGCAGACACATGCACATTTGTGGCCTGCTGGAGGTCATTTTGCAGGGCTCTGGCAGTGCTCCTCCTGTTCCTTCTTGCACAAAGGCGGAGGTAGCGGCCCTGCTGCTGGGTTGTTGCTCTCCTACGGCCGCCTCCACGTCTCCTGATGTACTGGCCTGTTTCTTGTAGCGCCTCCATGCTCTGGATACTACGCTGACATACACAGCAAACCTTCTTGCCACAGCTCGCATTGATGTGCCATCCTGGATGAGCTGCACTACCTGAGCCACTTGTGTGGGTTGTAGACTCCGTCTCATGCTACCACTAGAGTGAAAGCACCGCCAGCATTCAAAAGTGACCAAAACATCAGCCAGGAAGCATAGGAACTGAGAAGTGGTCTGTGGTCACCACCTGCAGAACCACTCCTTTATTGGGGGTGTCTTGCTAATTGCCTATAATTTCCACCTGTTGTCTATCCCATTTGCACAACAGCATGTGAAATTGATTGTCACTCAGTTTTGCTTCCTAAGTGGACAGTTTGATTTCACAGAAGTGTGATTGACTTGGAGTTACATTATGTTGTTTACCTGTTCCCTTTATTTTTTTTTGAGCCATGTATTATTAGAGGCTCCGATCTTCATTCTTTCTCTTTTGCAGGTGCACTCCTAGAGTTGGAGCGTAGTATTGATGCTATAGCACTGCCCTCCAGTGGTGGAGGCCTCACCAAAGATGGAAGGTAAGTGGCATGTCATATACCTTATGCATACCTACCTACATTATTAGTTAAAGCTATTTAAGCGGAAACTATTAGTTCAAAATTCTTCTTTATATTTTTTTCTTTTTAAATTTATTTAAATTATTGGCATGTTTGTGACACTACCCTCCAGCCCTCCCTTTTTAAAGATTTAATATTTGTCCCTTTTTAATATCCTCTAGTAATGTCCTGCTCCAATGAGTCCATCTTCTAATAAAGCTTTATTCTCTCCATATCCTATGGGAATCCAACTGAACAGATGTGCTGTAATACTGCAAATCAGACTTGATATTTTCTAGTAATTACCCTTCAATTTGTGCAATTCCTACAACGGCTTATTTAGATTGAGTGTATAGCCATTTCAGATGCACTAGTGGGAAATATCAGGCTGCTGTTGGACCCCACCCCTTTACCACATTAAGGCATTAAAAATAAAATGGAAGTTAATAACAAATTAGTAATTTCTGCATTTGCTGTACTGAATAAACTTTCATTTAATTCCAATACAATTAAGAGTTTAGTTGATAAACCCCAAAGATTGACGCAAAGGAAAATTTGCAATATGATAACGCTCTTTACTGCAAGTATGTTCTAAAGCATATGTTACGGCCATACGCCATTTCATATAGTTTATAAACTCATGAGATTAGATATAAATGGAAGAGTATCTGTAGTTAGTGGTTTCTGAGGTTCTTCCCTTTTTCTTTTTTTTTTCAGTTACATATTTGACCTTTTTGCTTCTGTGGGGATCACCTATGATACAAAGTCTCGTCTACTGGAGTATCTGGAACAAATTATTCAGCATGTGGGCGGAAGTGAGATATCGCTTAAGGGTGCTGGAGGCTTGGGTGGATGGGTGGGGTGTTTTTTAACCCACAGTTGACCTGCACACATACATTGCCATTTTATGTTATATCTGTTAAAATGCTATCATTGTAACTTTTATTACGTAGAACTAACTGAAGGCCAAACCTCAACTTTCCCACAATTCCCAGGCAGGCTTGGCTGGCTGAGTAATATGAACAGGTGTTAGAGGTTAGGTTTAATGCCCTTTTTAAGATGCAATATATATATATTATTTTCTGTCCAGAATCTGGGGTCTTCACGAACACTCTGGGGCTACAGAAGCTGTCTGATATTATCCAGGTGAGGAGATGGTTGACACATGGATTTGTAATGGTGGTAGTCCAGATGTCATTTGACCTAATCCCAGCAGATCATCTTGTTTCATTGCCTGCGCCAGTATGCACCTTTCCTTTACCCTGCTATATGTTCTTTGTAGATCGTGTTTAACGCTGATGTTCCGGAAGGTGCACCTGCTCCTACGTCCACTCATAAAATATCCAAATATTATAAGGTCAGTGTGTCTGTAATCTGTGTCAATCAGGTGGAGTCAAACTTTCCTATCATGGTATTTTCTATTTTGTGTCTCCTATAAAGAAAGAGCTGATTGTTTCAAAAGATAAATAGGAGCAGCATAAGATGAGATCATGGAAGGAGTAAAACTTGCTTTTTCATAATTCTGAAACCCAAGCAGTTAATGTGGTTCTCCCCTGGATTGAAACATACTCCATTTCCTATCTCCGATCACTGCATTCACTCTCTCCCCCCAGTCAGACTGTGCTTTGTAGATGACGACCGCTGCAGCCTGATTTGCGATTGGCTTAGGTAGATGTATTTTAGCCCTTCGATATCTTGTCAAACTTGTTCTGCCAGTTTGTACTTTTTAGTGAGGATGTGTGACTTTGAGTGGGGTTTCATCAGAGCTACAATACTGACTTGACTAAATGCCAGGAGCAGTAGGACAAAAAGACAATCAGCTGCACCCGAAACCCTCTGTAAAGGGTAAAGCTGTTTAAATAAAGTCTTTGTAAGATGATCAAATGCTCTGTCTCCTCAGATCACAGATTTCGTTTTGTTATGCAGCTAGTGGGCCTTGAAACTAACTTTTACCAGGGTTTCTATTTATTTTTAACACATGAGAACAAATGTCCCATGCAATGTTGTGTCTCCAAGAAATGGCTAATGGACTACATCTCCCCTGATGCTTTGTCAACATTATTGCTGTAGGAGCATTATGGGAGATGTAGTCCACAACATTTGGTGTGCTGAATCAGGCTTCCTCTGGCCTAAAGTATTGGAAATCTTAGGAATGCGGGTGATCACAGTTTGTACTGCTTCCCAGGTTCACATTCATCCTGACACAAGCCAGAGGAAGAAGCCACGTGGGGATGTTTGGAGTAATAGCAGAAGGGATGGAGGTAAGAGATTGAGTGGTGGCTCATTTCGCCATTGGTATTTGTACTACAAACCCTGGTCAATGGTCTGACCACATCTTACTTTCTCTAATGGACTTTAAGATGTTTACAAAACAAGTGAAGGTGGCGGGACATCCTCTACTTGGGCATCCTTGGGCTTAAAATCTAGATAACATAACTTTAGAACCATCATGTTTAGAGACCTACGTAAGCATCCCAATAGATACCCGTGTATAAAATATTGATTGCCTTTACTGGAATATTTGCAGTTAAACAGGATTTTATTCAATGGAGCACTCACTGTGTCAGTGAGGCATGAGGAATCCGTGACAAAGCCAGATAGAATGACCAATGAGAATGAAACAGTGGAAGATAGCGAATCAATGAAAAGAATGATACAACAACCAATCAGAATCAGGCTGAAAGAAGCTTTATATTGAAGAATTGCAATGTTCCTTAACTTTTGGGGGAGTTTTTTGTAAGTGATATTGAGGATTTCGCGACAAAGACCGAGGTCTATTACGCTGCCAGTTCTTGGCATGACTAGAAATCAAGAGGTCATTGTAACAAGGCCGTGCGTTTCCTTGACAACAAGCTGGACCCTAATCCTTTTAATGGGAAAAAATTGTTCCTTTTATGAGATGCTGTAATTTGTGCTCACACATCTACACGTGACCTCTTTTATGTTCATGTATGTATCCCAACAAGTGTCCACTAAAGCTCTAAATGCTTTCCATACACGAAGACCAATATTAACAGCATTTTGGATTTGCTCTGAATATTTGATGTATCTATCAGCTCAGGGATGCAAAAAAATCACTGTGTTTCCCAGTCTCACGTCCGTTTCGAAAAGTGATGTCATGAAGGTTGTAAATCTGTAAAAATGAAATCTGCAAAAAAAAATCCCTCACCCACACCCTGCGGTGTGAGTTACAGAACTGTCTGTTTTAAAAAGGAAAACCATTACCTCCATTTATTGTTACACCACTGCATTAAGCACAATGGGGTATTATCAGTTCTTAGTGAAAATGACATTGACCTAGTAACAGTGGGCTTTTTGACTTTAATGAAAAATCCTTGACTGTGTTCCACGGGCCTATAAGTTCTAGTTTTATCAAATAATTTTCCTCTCTCTGTTGCAGGGAAGGTTCTGAGTTACTGGTGTTTCAGCCCTGGGTATACAATGCACGATTTAGTGAAACAAGGTGTTAGGAGCATTATTCTGACCAGTGGAACCCTGTGTCCTCTCTCCTCCTTTACCATGGAAATGCAAATGTAAGTGGATTGGTAGTAAGGTTCAGACCATGGTCATATGATCCTCCAATGCATCATTGTGTAGTTACCTTGCAGGAATCTCTAGAACGGTGTTAGTTAATGCTTAGGCGAAATAATGACCAAGTTTTAATATAAAATTGTTGACCTTTTACATTTTTGGAAGGTGCTTGTGTTTCCCCTGCGCACACATTTTCTAGATTTATAGAGGGTTTGGCTGTTTGAAAGAGGAAGATCTGTATCGTTTTGTGTCTTTCTAAATAATGTGTATGGCAGAACTGCGAGATCTATGTTTTCCTGGAAATTTATATATGAATAGTCAGTCTATGAAAGGTATTGACTTGTAGTATGTAGCCTTGGTGTGTTGTGTATCTTGTGACTGGCAAGGCTCAATATTTCCATTCTCCATTGGCATATGAATATTCACCTCAGATGAGTGTGCTATGGACCCTCTAGGCTTACATTGGAGAGTATTTAAAGGACCACTCTAGGCACCCAGACCACTTCAGCTTAATGAAGTGGTCTAGGTGCCAGGTCCTTCTAGGGTTAACCCATTTTTTTATAAACATAGCAGTTTCAGAGAAACTGCTATGTTTATCAATGGGTTAAGCCTTCCCCCTAATCCTCTAGTGGCTGTCTCATTGACAGCCACTAGAGGCGCTTGCGTGCTCTCACTGTGATTTTCACAGTGAGAGCACGCAAGCGTCCATAGGAAAGCATTGTAAATGCTTTCCTATGCGACGGGCTGAATGCGCGCGCAGCTCTTGCCGCGCGTGCGCATTCAGCCCAGGAGGAGGAACGAAGGAGGAGAGCTCTCCGCCCAGCGCTGGAAAAAGGTAAGTTTTTAACCCTTTCCCCTTCCAGAGCCGGGCGGGAGGGGGACCCTGAGGGTGGGGGCACCCTCAGGGCACTATAGTGCCAGGAAAACGAGTATGTTTTCCTGGCACTATAGTGGTCCTTTAAAGTAAGGATCGACCGATTATTGGATTTTTAGAGTCAATACCGATAATCTGTGAACTTTCAGGCCGATAACTTGCCGATATTCTGTACATTTACCATTTTGAAAAAATAAACAATTTCTAAAGGTAAATGCACAAAATATACATGTGACATGTAGTGGATGCAGTGTGTTTACACAGGGAAGCTGTGTGTGTGTGTGTATAATGAATGCAGGGTGTTTGTGTAGTGTGTATAGTGAATGCAGGGTGTGTTTGTGTAGTGTGTATATATAGTGAATGCAGAGTGTGTGTGTTTGTGTAGTGTGTGTAAAGTGAATGCAGTTTGTTTTGTGTAGTGTGTGTTTGTATAGTGTATGTATATAAGGAATGTAGTGTGTGTATATAATGAATGCAGTGTGTGTGTGTTTCTGAAGGGATGTAATTTGTGTAAAATGGGGGCATTTTTTTATTTTATTTTTAATATATAATTTTATTTTTTGGGGGTGGGGTGGGGGGTTGTTTTTGTCCCAACTCCCTGCTTGTTACCTGGCCAGGGAGAGGGGCTTTGGCATTCCCCGGTGGTCCAGTGGCATGTATTGAGAAGTGGGGGGGCCCGCAGCAAGCTCTTACTTACCCTACCTTCAGCTCCCCTGTGTAAATCTCACTATCTGTGTGCCGCTGTAACCCATGGCAATGCTCTGACTGCCGCGGGACCTGCAAGATTTACACAGGGGAATTAAGGGAGCAGCTGGAAAGGTAAGTAAACGCTTCCCGCGGGCCCCTCCAGGACCGCCGTGCTTGTAATGGGCCCGGCGGTCCTGGTATGTATTATCAGCAATATCGGTATCTCTATTGGCTGATACCGATATTGCCGAAAATACAGAATATCGGCCGATAATATCGGTAAAACCGATAATCGGTCGATCCCTAATTTAAGGCCTTGGCTTGTAGCACATAATTTTATATATATTTTTTTTTTTAATCTAATCATTCAAGACACAATGCTTTTTAGACTCCTTGATTGAGGTCAGTCCTGCAGCTTGTGACTTTTGCTTACTACAGGGCAGCATTTTTCATGTGCTGCCTGTGAGTATACAGTGGAAAGATGTGTTTAGGAAGGGATGGTGGACCTGGCAGCCATTTCTATGGAGTAGTAATAGTGTTTTGAAACCTTGGCTTGTGTGTGAAGTGGTTATGTACAGACTGCAGCTTCTCCCAGCGGTTGCTAATAAAATGTTTGTATTTCAGCCCATTCCCAGTGTCCTTGGAGAATCCACATGTAATTGAGAAGCATCAGATTTGGGTGGGAATCGTTCCCCGTGGCCCAGATGGAGCACAGCTCAGTTCGGCATTTGACAGGCGGTACGTTTTTCTGGAATCATGGCTGCATGATCACTTGCTCAGCTCTGATATTTTATTCACATTGTACAATCCGAGCACTGTCTTCTGTAATTATAACAACATAGTGCAAGGGGTGAACAAAGAATTGGTGAGGTGGGGAAGGTGCATGCAGTTATACTGATCAGATAAGAAAAGAAAAAAATCAAGTCTCTGTAGCATAGGCCAGAAGATTGTGGGTGTATTTTTTTTTTTTTAGATTGGAGGGAATTGGGTATTTTCTATCCTTCAGAGGGAAGAGGGGAATCCTATTATTCTTTAGACAGCAGGGAACCGGGGTATGTTTTGGGATCAGGGTATACTTGTATAGGCAGAAGGGAATGGCGGTATAAAAGGAGGGTATATGGGTAAATAGTTTATTCTTCAACGAGGCGATATATCTTCTGACGTCATCTTGTTCTGCACATACTCTCACTGCACTCTTGATATCACAGTCTCTCTTGTACTCGTCTTGGCTTTCTATTGTAGTTTTTCATGAATACAGTTACTGTCTCACTACAGCTGGCTCTTACTCTCTTGCTGTTACTCTGCAGGTTTACAGAGGAATATCTGTCATCGCTGGGGAAGACAATTGGTAATGATTAGGTTTTAGTTTTTTTAAATGAATAAAGCATGGACATAATTCAGTAATGTACTTGTTCTGCTGCCTCTCCAGTCCTCCAGTTGGTGTTACTTTTCATACCTTTTCCTCCAGTTGGCGTACTGCCTGTCGGGCTGCTTCCTGCACTTGGCGTGCTGCCTCTCATGCCATGTACTTGTCCTTCAGCTGGCGTGCCTCTCAAGCAGTGTTTTACTGTTGACATTCTGCTTCATTGTCCTGATTATATATGCTGCCTGATGCCTTGTGTCGGTACATGCTGCCCAGTATTCTGCGGTTGTTTATGCAGCCTTATTGTCACGTTTTACTAACAATCTGTATACTTCAGGGAACATTGCTCGTGTCGTACCGCATGGACTGTTGGTGTTTTTCCCTTCTTATCCCGTTTTGGATAAAAGTCTTGAGTTTTGGAAGGTGAGGAACATACTTTGAGTACATTTAATACTGTTTAACACATGATTTGATAGACTCAATTTACAAGAATAATCCAATGTTATGTGTCACTTTTTTAATCTTTCCAAACCTGCTAAAAGGAGAAGTGGGGAAACTCTCCTCGATATATAAACAAATAAACTCTTCATGTTTGAACTGCAAGGCAAACAATAGGTCAGTCTCCATCCTTCTGTTCTTAGATAAAGAAATTAAAGGGACACTATATGTAACGGAGCTCCTTGTACTCCGACTGAGTACCCTCCGTTGACGGATGCTCCTAGCGCTTCCTGAGGACTCCAAGCGCTGCAGCAGACACCACAACCACCGCAGACTCCGCAACCGCCATATCTTGACTGGAGTCTCGCCGTCTTCCTTCCACCCTGGATCAGCTTCTGTCCTCCAGGACTGTGTGGGAAAGAACTCTTCCTTCCACCCTGTATGAACCTCCAGCATCCAGGACTGTGTGGTGAAGACCCCTCCTCCAAGGAGAGCGTGTCAGGAACAAGCTCTTAAAAGAGCTAAGTGACTCAAGCTCAGGGGAGCATGCAGAGCATAGCAATCCCCAGTGTGATTATAACAGCTCCCTCCAATAACGAGACAAGGCTACGTTTAGAGGGATCAAGAAGAACTGTCAAAACCTTTATTCCCTTGGGACCAGCCAATACAGTCACCACAATAACATTGTTGTGAAACCTCAATAAAATCACAAACAGTCAAACCATATCAAGAAACACACAGTGACTTATCACAACACAATGGCACATTTTTAAAGGGGTGGAGGGGAGACAATATTTAACAGTAAATATCTCACCTGCCTGCAGAATTAGCAATATGCAAATCTACCCGAATATGCAAATGAACCAGTCTTGCAATTCAGGTAGTGCATATTGCTGTTGCTACCAACAGAGGGCACTAGACAAGCTCCATAGCCAAACCCACCTAGTTGGTAGCAAACCTCAGCAGTACAGGAGAGAAGGCAATACATTACACAGTACACACACACACTATAAACAATTACATTACACACACCCTGCACCTATAATGGGTACAGGGTGACTAAAACATAAGATAAATAAAGCAGCCTACATAAATAGTCTGTCTGAAGGTAGAATAGGGGCTTTAAAGGCAAATACATCAAAGAGTCATAGTCACAGGGGAGGAGGCTGGCAAGCAGGCCTCTCCAGTACCAAGTGGCGAAGGGCACTTCGTCACACTATAGTCACCAGAACAACTATAGCATGTTGTATTTTTTTCAGGTAAGTATAATCAGTCCCTTCAGGCTTTTTGCTGTAAAAACTGTTTACTCCACTGGCTACTAGAAGTGCTTCCTGGTGCCGAGGAGACATTACCCACCCTTTGGATGGAGACATTAAACTGTCCTCATAGAGATGCTGATTGGCCAGGGTTATGTTTGGATTGTGCTGGCTCTGCCCCTGATCTGCCTCCTTGACAGTCTCAGCCAATCCAATGCTTTCCTATGGTGTAGGGTCAGGAATATTCTTGACTTTATAGTGTTTCTTCAAATAGAAGTCAGCTGAATGCCTAGGAATATCCTCTAAAGTCCCTTCCATTTAGAATCCAGGCATTATCACATTAGAAGTGTCCCAGATCATGTTCCATGAGACAATGTCAATCTTTACCCTTTTGGTTCTTACTACTGCATTTGACACCATTGATCTCAAGATTGGAATTGACCTCCGTGATCCTGAACTGTTTAATATCAATCTTCATTCTCAGGTCATGGCTAGTTATCATGAATATGCTAATTTGCACCTGGTTTAGCACAGAGAGTATACAAGGAGCATTCCTTTTTATTTCCCGTGACATTTGCATTGTGTACATTACCTCTGGAAAGGTACTGCTATGTAGACCGCACAACTTTCCTTTTACTTTGTGCCCGGAACTAAGAATCTGACAAAATGAGTAGAAATACCCACCGCTGAGAAGGGAACCCTAATGTTTACAGTACTTGAGAGGCAGGTACACATATAATGAAAGAAGCCCCAAACACTGGTTTATTGGAGGATTTAGCAATGTTTCGGCTCACAAATGGGATTTTATGGCCTCATAGCAGATAACTTGTTTGTGGTCCACAACATTCCTCAAATAAACCATGCCTGGGTACTTCATGTGTGCTGGATCCTGGTCCATGTGTTGGTTGAAGGTAAAATCTTAACAAGCCCTGCAGGTGAACTGTTGCTAGACAAATGTTTGTCCCTTAAAATCAAATTTCCACTGAGATTAATTTTATTTTCTTTCATCTGTGAGACATTGCCATCATAATCTGCATAAATAGGTTGCTGCTCAGCCCAGCATTAATTTAGTTGACATCCGCTGTAGGGCTTGGTTCGTCTTTTTAGTTATCCCCTTATGACTCTCACAATTCTCCCATGCTGTATGCACACTTTAAAGTGTTTCAAGTTCTATGAAGAATATAAAAACTCTATAAAACATTAATACTGTATCTCCTTTTATAGGCACAGAGTCTGTCTACACGTATAGAAGACGTGAAACCTATGTTTGTGGAACCTCGAGGGAAAGGTTCCTTTAACGAGGTAATTGGGGAGAGCTAGTTTGCTATATTAATCCCCTTGCTACAGATATCAAGACACATGTTGCATTGAAAACTTGTCACTTGTGCTCAGTGGAATACCTGTTATGATTTGTTCCCTATAGGTTATAGATGCCTATTATGAGAAGATTAATTGCCCGAAGACTGCAGGTGCCAGCTTCTTTGCTGTGTGCAGGGGAAAGGTGTGTAGAGTGTTCATGCACATGTACGCTGAAACGGAAAGCTGTATTCTATTGATTTATGTTCCTTTGTTTCATTCTTCGTCCCACCAGGCTAGTGAAGGGTTGGACTTTGCAGATTATAATGGCCGGGGAGTGATTATTACTGGACTTCCATTCCCCCCACGCATGGACCCCCGTGTAGTGCTAAAGATGCAGTTTCTGGACGAGATGAGGCGTGCTCAAGGAGCCTCTGGAATGGTAATGAATTTACCGTGCATATTTATGGGGATTTTCCACGCCAACTAAGCTGTAACAGAGATGAGCTTGGGCAGCCTTTAAATTTAAGTAACTTTGTGTCTCCTCTTAGTTCCTTTCTGGGCAGGAGTGGTATCGACAGCAGGCTTCTCGAGCAGTGAATCAGGCTATTGGCAGAGTCATCCGACACCGGCAGGACTATGGCGCCATCTTTCTGTGTGACCATAGGTAATTGAAATGTTAGTTGTCATAAAGCCTGTAACAAAATGTTTTACAAGAAATATAGGATAAAATGAAATGTTGACGTAACATAACTTCATCTCTGTAAAACTCACCCATAAAGGTTCTAGTTTGTCCATTTTATGATGTTGCTATTTAAAAATGTACTTTCATGACATTCCATCCAAAGAACTCCCTTTTCACATGCTCTCATAGTTCTTTAAAAGTGCATCTTAGTTCTTAATAGATAATTATCTGCAGCTAGTTGTAACAATGTAGTCTCTGTTAAAGTGAGTGGCGCAGAGCCCTGTTGGAGCCATGGAGCAATGATGTATGCTGTGCAGAGGAATCTTTGATTTGCTGTTTGTATATAGGAACTGCTGATTTCTCTGAACATGTGGCTTGCACATTTAAATGTTATGTCACCTCCTTCCAAATTTCTGGGCTGCAGAATAATATGCTACATATGTTTTCTGTCTGCACCTTTTGACTTTGTAAGCATCATATTTATCTATCTGGCTTGACGCATATTTAACTCGTCACACAAAACCTCATGTCATACACCAGTCAGCTGTAGAAAAAGAACTGTCTGATAATTGTATTTTATCCTCACTATGGCAACATGTTGACTTTTCATTAAGGAATGTGCCAGTGAAATGTCTGTCCAGATTAGACTAGACTATTTCTAAGATGAACCCTAATTTAGGGGATTGGATCGGTCAGTAAACCAAGGGGTAGAATGAGATTCAGTAAGGTGATTAAAAAGGCACACTGTAGGCACCCAGACTACCCATTGAAGTGGTCTGAGTGCTCTGTCCCTTTTGCACCCAGTGCTGCAATGTTAAAGGGATTCTATAGTACCAGGAAAACAAAGCCGTTTTTCTGGCACTATAGATTTTTAAGGTGACACATTCCCTCTGTGCTGAAGGGGTTAAACCCCTTCAGTCACTTACCTGAATCCAGCTCTGATGTCCCTCGGCGCCGGTTCAGGCTTCTCCCCCGCCGGCAGGGGAGACCTAATGTGCATGCACGTCAATGGCCACACTCGCATTAGGATTTCCCCATAGGAAAGCATTAGTTAATGCTTTCCTATGGGGAAAAATCTGACATGCAGAGTGTGAGGACGTCCAGCGTCAGATACCGGAGCAAGGGTCCGTTTCGAGCCCTCCAGTGGCTGTCTGGTAGAATGCCACTGTGGGCAGACTGCATGGCATTTGCGCCTCAGAACCTGCTTGTCACGAGACGGAGGAGGAACTTCGACCCGGTGCCAAGGGACATAGATGCTGAAATAAGGTGAGTAATAAAGGGTCTTTAACCCTTTGTTTACCGGGTAGGGAGGAACGCAAGGGGGAGCGATAGTGCCAAGAATACAGCATTGTATTTCTGGCACTATAGTATCTCTTTAAGGATGTTCATCTGGGGATCAGTATTAAAACTGATTTGATTTGAATGTTTTATGCCTTATAAGGGATGATGTGCATTGAATCATTGAAGAGTGAATGTTATTTATACATCTCTAAGTAGGCTTCAGTTGGTCCCTTCTTTACAAAGATGGTGAAAACGGTATTAAAATGATGCCAGGAATTTTGATGTCACATCCTGGTACAGACCATTATTGGTATTCTATATTTTACTGTGATCACATCCTTCCTCTCCTTGCAGGTTTGGCCACAATGATGCACGTTCTCAGCTCCCTTCCTGGGTACGACCCTATGTACGAACCTATGACAATTTTGGGCACATCATACGGGACGTTTCACAATTTTTCCGAGTTGCACAAAAGATTGTGAGTGAGCTGCGAAGGAGAAGTTATGGGTATTGGCTTAGAGAGTGCATTTTACTTAAAATCTTAACCAGAATATAATACAGACACCTTGTTAAATCTTGTACTGAGATATGTTGGATGCATTAGGCACACATTGATTCACTGTTTTATATATTTTTTTTTTAATACTTTATGACAGTAAATGCTATTTTATAAACAAAGCATGATAAAACATGATGATTGGAGATTTTGCATGGGAAAATCTATCTCTTCTTTTTCTCTGGACCAAATGACCTGTTAGTTGCCTTTTTTTTTTTTTTTTTTGTCTAGTTACAGTTGCAATAGTGAACTGATGAAGTGGCTGAAATGTGTTCAGTCAAAAACATAAGTGTTCAAGGTGATTTTTGATATGCCCATTTGTTTATATTATAAAATATATATATATTTTGGAATTTGAATGTTTGCTTTCTTTTTTTTTGTGTGTGTGTTCATAACAAGTCTTGCTTTAGTTATTTAAAAGGGCATTCCTAGGCACCGTAATTACATTATTTCATTGAAGTGGTTATGGTGCCTGAAGTCCACACAAGCCATCCCACTGTTGGAGGAGATGGACTCTGCATTAGCCATGCCAACTCTTTTCAATGATCAGTGGCACTGATATGCAGAGAGCGCCTAGCTGATGCTCACATTGCTGCGCCGGTTAACGCGGAAGCTCCGTTCTCTGTGTAAAGCAGATGTGTGCTGTGCTAATTTAGCAAATTTAGGCATTTGCTAAAGTGAGACAGAATTAGAACTGTAATGGCTGTACTATGTATCCAGGGTGAAGTTATGTGAGCTCTTAATCATTTTCTATGAAATGTGTCAAATTCTCTGTATGTGTGGAAATTGCTTTTTGTATGGACAGTTTGTATCCTTTTTCAGATGCCCCCACCCACTATCCGAAGCAATGAGAAAGGGGGTCAGACCGTTTGTCTCTCCAGCTCTCCCTCTACATTCAGGTCTTTGCAAAATGTATCGGGCACTCAGGATATCTCAAGAAAAGCAAAGAACTTGGACTCACATGTCCCCAGCTTGAAAAGGAAGAGAGAGGGTAAGTGGACAAGGTCTGCAGCTCTATAAATGGGTTAAAAATGCTTGAATATCCAAAGAGGTTTACTTCCTAAACTGGGGATTTTGGAGAATTGACAAATGACTTGCAAAGTTTAGTCCATTCTAAAGCACTGCCATTATTACTTGGCTCGTATAAGTCAGCTGGAACTGTGGAGGTTTTACAATAGAATGTAACATTTTAGGTCATACAAGATGAGTTGGAGAATTTATCAAAATTCTTTATTTTACGCTACAGTTTGCATTTCTTTGTCAATGTTCCATAATTTCTACTTTAGTAGAAAAAAATAAAATAAAAAAAAAATCTGTTTTCTATCTGTTATTCAGATGGGGGTACTAGGAATTTCTTAGGTGTTTTTTTGTAACATTTAATACATGTACAGAGTTATCTAACACGCACCCACTCGTTGTTAGGAAACCCTGTGGAGCTGACACTCGGCACAGTCTCTGATTTCTGTGAAGGGTATGAGCAGGTAGTGGGTACAAACAGCTGCCGCCCAGCTGGGTTATTGGATGCCTTGGATCACACAGAGAGGAGGCAGCAGGAAGAGCCACTTTCAGCAGAGAAGGTAGCGGATCTAGTTTGGGGAGGGGTTGAAGACAGTCTAAGTTTCAAGTTTTAATTTGTTTCATTTTGTGTCAGGTCTCGCGGTATTCCACAATGTCCTTGCAGCACGACAAGCGGCTTCAAGATGAGCAGCAAGGCCTCAAAAAAAGGATAAAGATTGTGCAAAATCGGGTTTGTCTCCACCAGATTTTCATTTCTGTATATTCCCTTTTTTCCTCTCATTTTACAATGAATCTCCCTTTTGTGTACAGGGTTTAGAAGAGAGCTTTCCACCCAGCCAGAAGGTGAGCAGTGCTGCTTTGTTCATTAAGTCTGTGAAGGCATGCCTCAGCCAGTCGAACTATGACATTTTCATGGCAGCATTGACGGATTACAAGAAGAGTGATGATTTGCAAAGTCTCTTACCTCCGCTCCGTACCCTGTTCTGCCAGGACCCAGTAAAGCATGGTCTAATGCAAGGTGATTCTTCCTTTCTGATGCTAACCCTCTTCAACTGAACCGGCCTTTCTCTACATTGTGCCTACCGTTTCTGCCAGGGCCGTCTCTTCAATAGCGTTACAGGGCCTGCCCGCGAGGTGGCCTCTTGCCAGGGCCTGTCCACTCTCTTACTTTACTTGTGCACAGCTCCCCCCTGCCCTCCCCCCCACCCCCATGCACTGTCTCTGCCACTTGATTCTGATGGTATTTAGCTCTTATTTTTGTTTCAGGTTTCTACCAGTTTATTCGACCTCACCACAAAAAGGAATTTGATGCTATCTGCAATGAGTTGACGGGAAGAAGCTGTGGGTATAAACCTGAGCACAGTATTTCTAGGACAGAGAGAGAGAAGGGTGAGTGTGGCAAGAATCAAACTCTGTTACATACTATTCTCCATGTCTGCGCGTGTCTACATGTCTGCCTCTCATTGCAGCTCAGCTGGAGGCACCATCCACCACGACAGTAACAGAACCAAAAATAACATTTTCAGAGGGTTCAACCGTACACATGAACCTTGGCGAAGGACACATGAGCTCTGTTATAAATAAAGGTGAGAATTAGACGTTCCCCAGGCACCAATGGAAAGGATAACATTGCTTATATTTCAGCAATAGTGAGTTGACCACATATGGATGCTTCATAGTTAGTAGAAATGCTGATCAAGTGACATGCCAACCCTCGAAATACAACTGCAGTTATTACTAGAATAAAACGTGGGTAGGATGGTTGTAGTTATTACTAGTGCCTGTTTGGGGAGATGTGGTCAGGATTCTGTACCTACCTACTGTTACTACTAGTGTCTGGGACAATCTATACCCACCTACTGTTATTACTAGTGTCTGGGACAATTTATACCTGCCTACTGTTATTACTAGTGTCTGGGACAATCTATACCCGCCTACTGTTATTACTAGTTGTGGCGGTGCTATTCTAGCCAGCCTGAGTATCACCACTAGGGATTCCCTTTACCCTTCCTTAAAAGCCCCAGAGTGATTATAGCTCCCCCTACTCATCAGCTGAGGCTTGATGTAAGCGTATAACACGAACACTTTATTGAACCACAGTCACCTTTTTATACAGAGGTCTCCAACAGGTCGTCATCAAGAGAACAAAGCATTGTACAACATAATTAACAATCCTGGTGCCTGGGACACAACTTAATCAAAGGAGGCAACTTTATTAACGATCAGATACCTGGGTGGCTAACTATAAGGTCCTCTAAAACAGTACTTTCCCCAGCTAGTATCCCCAAACATTTAGGATCCCCAGGTATACCTAAGATGGTACTCAGGCCAAAAAGGTCCCAGGGACTCTCTGGGTAGTTTTATGCTCTCTTAGCCTGGAAGCGCAGTAGAAACCGGTTCAGGTGAGTGATTACAGTTCCTTTGGAAGAAGGTGGTGGCTGGGAGTCCATGGTGACCAAGTGGTCTGTCACACTAGTGTCTGGGGAAATCCTACCCATGGAATGGAACCTGTGTGAATCGTAGAACAAGATGAAACATTGTTTTACCTGGCTTGACTCACAGAAAGTAGCAATACTTGTGGGTTAAAGTATGTCTTAAAAATAACAGCTCCTTTGTTTGTCATATGATAATTCGTAATCTCAACATGACACATAATGCCACAGCGATACAAAATTGGTATCTATTTCTGTAACACATGATCTCATATGTTTGGAATGATCAACACGTTCGCACGTGTAATGAAAACTCAGTCATGCTCCGTTACTATTCGTCATTGTTTAAATGCCAGAGATGTTTGTCATGGCAAGGGTGTATAATTTATTATTACACTATGGAATATCATCCGTTAATGTACAAATTACAGAGATGCTATATCTGAGGTCAACAGGGGTTACATCTTTTGAAGCTGGGACCCCCACAGAGGTCAGATGACAGAAGGGGTAGTGTGAATGGCATAGCAATGTGACAAGGATTTTAATATATGGATGTGGAGTAATTAAGTATCTGCAAGGTGTGAGGTTCTACACTTGGAAAAGTCTGAATGTCTCTTCATCCATTTGGCATGTACCTTGTAAAGGATAGTTCAATCCTTTGAAATGGTAATGGGATTCGTTTCATGAAGATCCTTGTGTTCCAGTATCTTATCCAAGTGAAACATTCATACTTACCCACAGGTTAATAATCAAGCCTCATTTTTATTATATTTGGAATGGGACAAGCCCAATCTTTTAATTAAGCCCAAACATGAGTTGCACAACTTAAACCGTGTGGCAGGACTTGTGATGTCCATCCTATTGGATCGTGGGTGGGGCGTGCAACATGTCTTTGGAATGGGAAAACAATAACAAATTCATAGAGGCAATTATTATTTCTGTGGCAAGTACAGTAGAAGAGATAAAACCAAAAGTCTGTATGTGGCTTGTTGGTTTCTGGAACAAAGGAGGTGGTCACTTAGTATCCCTATTGCACCACCCCTGGATGAGGCGTGGCAATTCACAGGGTATATCTCCTGTGATTCTGAAGGGTGTTTGTGTACTTGCTTGGGGCCAAGATCTAATTTTGAGTGAGTCACCATCTTTCCTTGCCAGAGACCCCCTGGACAGAAGTTGTACTTTGAAAACCTAAGTGAGTAATTAGGACTTCTGTATTTTATCCTTTTTGTTTTTACCTGTTGTTGGTGTAAATAATTTGTTTATCATATATTTTTATATGCACTGTGACTATCTTTTGCTCATAATAAACATTAATTTATTAAGTTTTGCCTTTGTCTGGTTAAGAATCACGTTACCTGAGGAGACTAGTTAGTATTTTTATAATTCCTTGAATATTGTCCTAAGTAATATTTGGTGGGTTTTATTATTGATTTACCTGGGGGACCAAGGCACCCCATTTATAAATTGTCTTGGTGGTGGCAGCGTTAAAATAGTAATAGTTATATTATTATGTTTAAGTGTGGGTGGTTTTAAAAGGGGGATTTTGTCATTATTTCCGGTCTAGTGCAGACAAATAGTGAACTTTAACCCTTTCACCACCACCACTACGTCACACGCACTCTTGGAGTAGGGTGTGTTCGTGACAATGGTTATTTATATTTTGACGGAAAGGCTGATTACCTTTGTTTTGTTGCACAGATATTGCAATAATGCTTTATTGGTATTACTATCAAAGTGTGTTCTGTGAATGCTAATTTATATTATTGTACAGCACCATGGTATATGTTGGCACCTTATACATGGGATAAGTGTAACTGATCGATAAATTGTTAATAGTCGTATCTCAGCTTTTCATTTCCCAGCTTACAGATTGTGAACCAGGTTGTCTGCAGCAATCTGTCACTCTAATAAACAATCACGTTACATTTTGGAGAGTTGTGTGGCTGCATGTTATGCTTTCAATGTTTAATTTGTGTAACCCATTGCAGAGCCTAGCAGTAACAGTGCAGCGGGCCCCTCTAAGCAGGACGGGAGAAGCCAGGTGTCCGTGTACCTAAACCAGGTGAAGGAAGTACTAGGAGCTGCCAATTATCAGCGATTCTCGACTGCCCTATCCTCCTACAAGAAAACGGACAACTATCAGGATATGGTGACTGAAATCGCAGGCTTACTGACTGAGAAACAGGAGAATTATGCCCTGTTGAGAGGTGAGTAGTAAAACTGAACATAAATGGAGGGAAAGGGGGGGGGGAGACGTGTGCAGAATTTCAGAAAGAAGGTCCACTGGCACAGCTCCGAGTAGATATTTTCATTTTTATTTTTTTTTTGGAGTCTGTGGTGTTTGTTTCTATTTACGGAAATCTGTAGCGTGTCGTGCTGTTTAAAACCCCTCTCCCATGCTAACAGCTAGATAATTGCATGTCATGGCTACTTTGGTGGAATACAAATTCACTCGTTATGTTAACTAGAAAGCGAAACTCCTGTGAGTGGTTCGGAGAAATTGTCAGAACAGAGCGAGAGTTTAGCTGCGAATTGTCCTGAACACTGCCAAAGAGGCTGCTGTATGTAGCAGCCTCCGGGTAACCTGACCGGTCACCACTGCTGATTCCCTTCCTTCAGCCGGTCATGAACCACTTAAACTGCAACGAGACCTATTTCCCCCCCAGTAACTGGACGTGACCTAGTTCTTGGAGGTACAACACAATTTTATTGGCAACACACGGCGTGCAAGGTGTGGATCACAAGGTGTGGACACATCCTGCAATCCTCCACTTGCCTCGGTCCCTCGACCGGCTCGTCTCTGTTCGCAAGGTCCTTGTGTGAAACCCAGACAAGGGTAGCATCTCCTCTAGGGGTAAAAATGCTGCCCCTGGATGGTGTTTGCCTATACGAAATGGCGGCCACCCAGGGAAGCACTCAATTACTTCCCTTGCGGTTTCACATTCGGGTTGCAAGTGAGAACGTTCTGATTGGTGGAAACGTTCTAATGGGGAACTAGGGAGGTCCTCGTTCAGGAAATGAACGAGTCGGTAAACAATCCACAAACGCTCCCCTTGGCTGACGTTCGTCTGTATGAATGGCGGCCGCCCATTAATTGTTTCCCTTGCGGATTGCGAGGTGTGAAGGTTCTAAACTAACATTCTAAATGGGGGGTATCGGGGTGGTCCCCATTCAGGAGGCGAATTAATTCCCTTCGTGGAGGCACTCCCGAACGGGGAGCCGGCATAATATACGAAAAGATGAGAACACACATAATATAAAGGTCAATTCACTGACAGGCAGTGGTCCCGCCACACACTACATCATAGCAAAACTATGAAATGACCATATTTATTTGACAAATGTCCAAATTTTTTTAATTTTTTTTTCTCTTTCATATTCTGCTCAGCTTTTCAAAAGTTTGTGCGTCCTCATCACAAAAAGGACTTTAATCAACTGTGTGTGGATTTGACGGGTGAAAGCTGTACCAAGAAAACCCTGTGCCCCCCTCCAGCCGATTCCAATAAGCCGTCTGTTCCTTCCTTGCAAAATACAGACACAACCATTGAAACTATAGCGCCAAACCAAGTCTGCCACCTTGACGGGGAACCTTCAGGATCATCACTTGGATCGAGACCCTGTGATACCACAAGCTGTGAGTATTTAAACGTACACACACACAGAGCTTGAATGGGGAACTGCAGACTCTCGTGTCTTGGGTGCACTTTGTAGCTTAGGTTACAGATAGTTATACAGGGAGCATTCAGATCATTATACAGGGTGTATTCATGCAATTACTATTAAAAGGCTCATATTAGGTGCACTCTATAGGTTAGATTACACTTGGTTATACAGTGTAAGTTTATATTATTAAAGGGATCCTCTGCAGGTTAGAAGAAAGTTAGTGTGTATGTGAATATATAGTTAATACAATGTTAAACAAAAATCTACACACCAGTCAAGCCATAAGACTTGCTTTTCCCACAGAAATCACACATTTGCAGTGATGTTATTACCACAAAGGATTCTGGGTGGGCATATGCAAATTAGTTTAACAAAAAATTAAATTTTTGCCTCATTCCATTATATATATGTGTGTACAGTCTTGCACTCCACCTACTGGTATTTGTGCTAGTCAGCCTTAACAGATCTAAATAGGTACAGATACCACTCCAGGGACTTCAGGATAATGAAATAAAACTTTGCTTTTATTGCTAAAAGTTTAAAAGATCAACATTTCAGTTTGCACTCCAAACTTTCATCAGGAAAGTGGAGGGCAAACTAAAACTTTAATCTTTTAAACTTTGAGCAATAAAATCAAATCCTATCACCACAGTCAAGTGTGAATAGTGTGAAATAAGTATGTAATATACTTATCAGATAAATCAGCCTCCCAAGGATCACTTCCCAGGTAAAAAAAAAATATAAATAGAACATAGTGCAATACAATTTCAACAGGTTATATACGCTGTATAAAGGTGCATTCACAAGATCTAGATGTATAATTCGCTCAAGGGTGCCTCCCCCGATGTAATGGGGGGGCTGAAAATCTCCCTCCGCTGCCTGCAGTATCGCAGGAAATCAGGACTCCGGATGGTAGTATAAAATAGCGGCTTTTATAAATCAAAGTGATAAAATAGCAGTAGTTATGGTCTGGACAGCGGAGGGAGATTTTCAGCCACCCAATTATATTGGGGGAGGCACCCTTGAACGCATTATATGTCTAGATCCTGTGAGTGCACCTTTCTACAGCGTATATAACCTGTTTAAAATTGTATTGCACTATGTTCTATTTGTTTTTATTTTTATTTTGCAGCCGTATCCCATTTGTTACATATATATATATATATATATATATATATATATATATTTTTCTCATTACTTTTTTGACGTTAACTTTGTACAGTAAGTAGAAGTAGCTTTGAGATTAGCTCAGCAGTGCTATGTGATGTTAAAGGACCACTATAGGCACCCAGACCACTTCAGCTTAATGATTTTTCACAGTGAGAAGACGCCAGCGTCAATAGGAAAGCATTGTGAATGCTTTCCTATGGACTGGCTGCATGCGTGCGCAGCTCCTGCCGCGCATGCGCATTCAGCCAAAGAGGAGGAGGAGAGCTCCCTGCCCGGCGCTGGAGAAAGAGGTGAGTTTAACCCCTTCCTCTCCCAAGAGCCTGGCGGGAGGGGGATCCTGAGGGTGGGGGCACCCCCAGGGCACTATAGTGCCAGGAAAACAAGTATGTTTTCCTGGCACTATAGTGGTCCTTTAATTGAGCATCATGACTGACAATTTCATGGTCTTCGCAAAGCTCGCTGCAGTTGCTGCAAATCTTGGAGGTTTTTTCTTAGTGAATGCAGAAAATACAAATGTAGATGTGAATAAGCATAAATTAAGATAAGACATTCTAAAAGAATGCACTAAAGTGTGTTTGTAGGGAAAACAATGTAATCATCCAAGATGCTCCAGTCTCTGTGCTGTTTTCCATTTGTTACAAGCAGTTAATAGTTGATGAGTTTATAAAGTAACATTTGCAGAAACATTGTTTTCCACGGTTGAGCAATGACATTTCAGATGTGGTGGTGTGTTGTCTTCCCAAGAGAAAAAGTTTCTGGAATTACAGCTGGGGTGGTAGTTGGTATTTGTGAATAATGGTTACACAAGTGGGGAGCAGCAAATTATGTGAACTGGCCCTGTTCATGAGAAAGATCTGTTTTGGGGATTGAGTACTGTAATCGTCTGTGAAGACCTCTATGATGAGGTGTCTGAAGCATGAGTTGATCAGGCTGTGTGTCAAATCAGCTGACCTAACAGTGCCCACTGTATGACATGTCATCTGTGTGTATTACGTGTTAAGCATATCTACTGTTTGTACGGTAATCATGATTCAGGAGATTCGGTAGTTCAGCTAATATGAGGAAGTGTACTATCTAAGTTTCATATTAATTTTTATTTACAAGAAATAGTGTTTCTGCTTTCCTGGTTATAGGATCTCTAATCCCATAACACAAATGAAATTTTATCCATAAACTGCATGTGAATTCTGTGTAGCCCAATGCACACAGACATAATGAGATTAGAGATTTTGTCAAATTTAAAGTGTATTTTTTCCCTCTGCATGAATCATACTGGAATAAAGGTTTTATTTTGCTTTTTTTAATCATTTCATTTTGGTGCTAACTTTAAATTATTCTATCATATGCACTAGGTAAATTAAAATGGTGCATCCTTATAGCTTTACCCAGCATAAACCCATTACACCATGCCCCTACCTCTTCCTGATTATTAACTTTTTTTTTTTTTTTTTATAATTCTTTATTTTTGTAGTGCAGGTATAAAAGGCATGAACACCAGAAAACATGTTATTCGTTCAAGCAATAGGTCTTGCAAAAAAAATAAGACCTCAGAGAACAGATGCACCTTTTTTTAAAAAGTTTTTTTTAATTATATTTGGCTGGATGTGGGGAGAGGGAGCTTATTTCAGTATTAAGGGCTTACAAGTATATCAATGAAGTTTAGAAGGGTCACATGGATATCGACGTGAGGTAAAGAATATAAGGGAGCGGCAAGGTCAGGGATGTGATCTATAATGTATTTACTCGATGAATTTGTTATTCCTGAGATTTTTTACTCAGCCATGAAGTACTTGCCATTCATTAGTCACTGTTTGAATTGGTTCCACAAGCCTCTTACAGCTTTGGGGATAGTGTGTCACATCAGGAGATTTAACAAAGTTTAACATATGCTAGTCTAAGAGGCCAAAAATAAACTGGATGTGTCATACTTTGTGGTTGGTGTCCTTTAACATTCTTCCTTTTAACCCTTGTGCATGTTTCCTCATAAGTTCCTTTTTGAGAAGTTCTCTCTAACGTCCTAATAGGCTAAGTTGTGGCTTTAACTTCTCTCTTGTAGACTCTGACCCAGCTGATTGGGCCCTGACTCAGTCTTCTTTAGCATATTGCTAAGCTTGGACAAGGAACTAAAAATCCTTCCAAAAACAAATGAATTCCGTGGTAAAACTTCCGATACCCTTTGTCCTTTTTAATCATTGACCCATGTGCAAAACCATTCTAATTAACACATAACCATCTGTGTCTGTGTGTCTATTCACGTGCAAAGACGGCTTTTACGTAACCAGGCTGAAAAGATCAGCAAAAAACGGTCAAAATTGGGCAGACTAGATGGGCCGAATGGTTCTTATCTACCGTCACATTCTATGTTTCTATCTCTTTGAGGAGATGCTGATTGGCCAGGAGTGTTTGGCTTGTGCTGGCTCTGCCACTGATCTGCCTCCTTGACAGTCTCAACCAATACTATGGGAAAGCATTGTGATTGGCTCAGGCCACCACATCTGATGATGTCAGCCAAGCAGGCAGGTCAGGGGCAGAGGCAGCAAACTGGAATAAAAGTAAGATTGTAGGGGGCGGGGCCTGACAGCCAAGATGGCCGGTTGCACTTAGTGAGAGCTCCAGCACCAGCAGGCACAATTAAGCCTTTTCCGACCAAACTACAATCGACAGCTGCTCACGGTGCCCAGGGTACGATGCAGGACCGATCGAGAAACGGGAGGATGCCTGTCTCGACTCGGTACGCCACGAGAGTACCTGGGCCGGCCATGCGGCCTAACCTGGAGCGGGGCCTAGCGTCTGGGGGAGGCGGCCGATCCCCCAGCGCGGGACATGCTCACCCACAAGAATTCAACATAGCCCTGCTACCCCCCCCCTATGGACCGGTGGGGGATATCCCGGTCCTCGCTGGGGACGATTACCCCTACAACACAGCCTGCAACACAACAGACTCGCAGTACCTCTGGGACTGCCGTCAGAGCTGAGTCCAAGCAACCCGAGGAGAGGGCGAAAAAAACGGCTGATAACCACCCTGAACAAGCGGATTACTCAGCTAGGCTAGAAGCGATCTTTGAAGCTTTCTGGCACAAGCTTGAACGGCGCACACAACAAAATGCTGAGAAACAACAAGGCATCTGCTCCTCAAAGCACCCACGAGGAGGTCATAAAATGGCCGCTGCGAACAAGCTCCAGCGCCCACAGGACCAACGATGCTGCCCAACCCTGCGCAGCAAACAGCGGTCTCAAGCAACTGCCCGGAGCAACAAACCTCCTTCAGGGGAGGGAGCCCGACAGGACCACAGTCAGTCCCATCGACCACACACCAGGAGGGCCTCCAAGAAAACGGAGCTCCAAAAGTCACACGGCCCAACCAAGCATGGAGGAACAGCACAGGGACACTGGGCAGCGATTCCCGCACTAAACGGGATGAGGGGACCTGATCGGTCATTGTACCACCGCAACAACCTCCCAAGACACCTGCTGGGGTACAATCAACAACTGACACCTGCACTGCACAGAGGATGCCACGCGGAGACACCCCCAGCATGGCCCGCAAGAGGGATCGGCTGACTGGCGCTGAGAGCAACCACTCGCAATGCGTGCAGAGTCCAGAGACAATCAGGACAATTCAAACTAAGATGCAGAGAGCAACCTCCAGTGAGACATGTACCAATGGTTGATTAATATGTACCCAGAATAGATATGTGTCAATGACTAATTAATAGGTGCCCATAATTAATATGACCCTCTGATGGATATGTGCCAGCAATTAATATGATATCCATACCTGTTTTAGCACGATTCTAGCGTTTGGCGGTGTGATTCCACGCACCACTATGCAATAGCTATCCTCCCCGCAAAAGCTAGCAACTCCTATATGCCAGACTCACTCTATATTCTCTTAGCAATATTAGCTGATGTGAAAGTTTAGGCACCTCTCCTCACTAATAAGCTACCTACAACCCAAGGCTCAGACATGCAAGTACCTTTAATCCCAAGCAAAAGCGATGCAGAAATAAGCACTGCTTTGAGACCTAGGGGTCACTTCACCTTCACCTTACCCTATATGTATTTGACTAAGCTTGTTATTATTGGTGGCAATCAGTATCAGTGCCTACGTTATGTAATCGCTATAACGAAACTGGCTTTACTATCACTCATACGCACTGTATAGTTTCCATCACTGTTCTCTTATTTGCAGCAATGTTTTAGCTGGTAAAGGATCCTCACTTGTTTCTCTTATTGTTAGCAGGCCAGACCCATAGACACATAGACACATATAAACCAAACGTGTTTTTATGACGTATACTCTGACGTATGACCCTGCTGTGGCTTTCATTCTTGTTTTACGTTCTTAAAATTGTTAAAAAATGTGCTTTCACCTCAATGCCACATATGTATAAATCTATGTTAATATTGTGATTATGTCTGCTGTTGTGGCAACATATATCATCTTGTCAAACCATGCACAACAAAAATAAAAAATTCAAAAAAAAAAGTAAGATTGTACTTTATTTGGGCAATTAGGGACCAGGGGGTTTAGATGGTGGCTTTAACACTATCTGGTCAGGCATACATGTTTGTGTTCCTGACCCTATAGTGTTCTTTTAAGAAAAGCGACCACATTTAACATGGGGTTTCCCTTAAATGTATATGTAACAACTGAAATATTCAGGCTATAAACAGTCTTTTTTGTTCATTATTACTATTATTTCTGACTGACTTTCCTTTTATGCTCCTTCACAGCACAGAAACCATCCAGAGGCACCGCAACAATCAGAGTGACCAGACCAGATACTTTACTCCCTCCTTATGTGCTTAAGACAGGTACGTTAAAATGGCTTCTGCTCTCTGATTGCCTCTTTTCTAACCTCTTGAAATCTGTTAAAGGTGCAGTTTGCAGTCTGTACCCATTAGTATAGGAAGGGAAGGTGCTTAACATTTATCTTCCCACTTGATGTGCAGTGTCATTCGGTGAGGTAGATCAGCTGATCAGGCTGTGTGTCAAATCAGCTGACCTAACAGTGCCCATTGTATGACATGTCATCTGTGTGTATTACGTGTTGAGCATATCTACTGTTGGTACGGTAATCATGATTCAGGAGATTCGGTAGTTCAGCTAATATGAGGAAGTGTACTATCTAAGTTTCATATGAATTTTTATTTACAAGAAATAGTGTTTCTGCTTTCCTGGTTATAGGATCTCTAATCCCATAACACAAATGAAATTTTATCCATAAACTGCATGTGAATTCTGTGTAGCCCAATGCACACAGACATGAGATTTGAGATTTTGTCAAATTTAAAGTGTATTTTTTCCCTCTGCATGAATCATACTGGAATAAAGGTTTTATTTTGCTTTTTTTAATCATTTCATTTTGGTGCTTACTTTAAATTATTCTATCATATACACTAGGTAAATTAAAATGGTGCATCCTTACAGCTTTACCCAACATAAACCCATTACACCATGCCCCTACCTCTTCCTGATTATTAAATTTTTTATTTTTTTTTATAATTCTTTATTTTTGTGGTGCAGGTATAAAAGGCATGAACACCAGAAAACATGTCATTCGTTCAAGCAATAGGTCTTGCAAAAAAAATAAGACCTCAGAGAACAGATGCACCTTTTTTTAAAAAAAAGTTTTTTTTAATTAAATTTGTATTAACAAGAACTGTATCCTTAGCCTGGAATGTGTCCTGTTTGTGAGGATTGGTTTAGGAGTAGATATAGAGTAGTTTGCAGGATAGGGTGAAAGGCTCTACATAAAATGAATAAGTGTAGTAAGTGGTGGTATGGTAGGTATGTGACGATCATGTAGTATGGGCAACTAACATTTTGATTCCCCACATATGATGGGCGAAGGTCTAAGACCCTTCTCCCGGTAGCGGCACTGTGGTTAGAATTTTCAAAAACCTAAGAGGAGATAAAATAAAGGAACAGAAAAGTGAAAAGCATCAGTGAAACAGATTGAGTTCCGAGCCCTCTGCTGGGCCAGCACATGAAGCATCAGGTCGGCTTCTTGCTACGTTACTTGAAGTGAAGGGTACCACTGCGGCCGGGTCCCAGGTGCTAGTTGAGGCCGGCGGGTTCGTGCTTGGTCGGCTTCAAAAATCCCAGCGAAGATAAGGAGGGTCAGTGCTCTGCTGCTGAGGTGATTATATGGGTCCCTTGTGAGTCACTGATACAGATCTCGTCGTTCCCCATCTGTATGGTATGTCGGCTTTGCGAAGGCGGTGTGTGTGATCTCATTTAGGGATTTGCGCCATTGTTTTTGTTAGTAGAAGGATAACTGTGAGTCATTCTTGGTAGAAGAATAACTGTGAGTCCTCAAAAGGGAGCAGTGTCTTGCGCCACAGTGCTGTCATGATTTACCCCTTGTCGTGAGATGATGCGCATTTGAGAATGACGTGTCGCACCTGAATGGATGATGTTTTAAGTGAGGTAGGGAGGTGATATATGCCATCCATGACGATCTTTGGAGCTACGGTAGGAGGGACGACAGGAGGCGTCTCAGGTAATGCGGTAGTTCGTCAGTTGAGACAATGGCAGGGATGCCACGGATTTTAAAGTGATTGCGTCAGCTTCTGTCTTCCATGGTTGACAGCTGTGTCGCCAGCGTCTGTTGGTTAGATTGAAGTTGGTGCAAAGTACCATTTATGGTATTCATGCCACTGTGTAGATTGATAATTTCTTCCTCTGAATTCTGAACTCTGGTTGTGACTTTTTTTCACATCTACTTTGATAGATATTCGTGTCTGCTGCCAACATTTTGTTTATATCCTGGAGTAGGAGCTGTAGGTCATGTTTGGTCGTAGGTGCTGAACCTTCCATGGTGTCCATGTGAGTGGAGTGGGCAGTTTGGGAAGTTGTGGAGGTCTGTAACTCTTGAGAAGCTGTGGGTGTCTGTGCTCCTTTTTCCACCTCTGGGGTGCTGGTGTGTGTGCTGTGGAGACCCTCTGCGGGCGCCATGTGAGGTACTTGCCTCTGCAGCATGGTCCCGATATCCCTGTTGTCAGGTGGGATCCCAGCCCCAGGTTTTTGTGAGCGGCGCCCCATGGCTGGTGTGTACTCAGTTGGGGGCATGGAGCCCCAGTCTGTTTCGTTCGGGTCCTCAAAGTCAGAGGGGTTTTTCCCAACTAGCGAGGGCCAGTCAGTAGGAAGGCCCTGTTCGGCATTGGAAGGCTAATTTCGCCAGGTCTGCATGGAGCTACCAGAAATGGTGTCCAGCTCATGGCTAGCTCCGCCCCCATTAACTTTATTTTTAATAATTTTCATCTTCTCTTGTAACAGATGCCAGGCTCTCAGGGCAGGCGTGTTTTAGGGATGTGTACAAAATAGAGAAAACACTCCAAGTGCCATAACCATTACACCCTGCTCGGGTCTGCTGCGCTCGGTATCGCAGATTGTGAACCTGTATTGGCCACACTGAGCAGAATCTGAAATGCTCTAACAATTACAGTGGGCCGGAGTCAGGGCACTATTGAAACCGTAACTACTACAGGCTGTAGCGATTATAGTCCTTGGATTTTTTTCTTTAAAAATGTGTTAGTAGGGGGCGGGGCCTAACTGTCATGGAGGACAGACGTGTTTCACAGGAGCTCCTCCACAATCCTGGCATCGAAGGCAAAACACGGCCTCATTCAGACTAATTTCGGGACCACGTTGAGCCCACACCGAAGCCTGACACTGCAGGGCAAGGTAGTAGGGGTCAGTCACCCAATGAAAACTGAGCAGCCATACTTGCGACAGCATGCGGCCTTGTGTGCACCGGGCGGGGGAGGCGGCCGCTCTCCCATTCCGGGGCTACCCAGCGACTGCAATGGCGGGGCAGGCATCCCGTTACCCCCCCCTGGGACTGTTGGGGGTGAACATGGTCCAACCCAGGAGAGCTACACCCAGTAGAGGAGAGGTGAAGGTGAAGTCTGGCAGGCAAGCGAATAACATTACTACCGACTCATTCCTAACGGCGGACACCTCGTGCCTCCCTTGCACCCACGCTCACAATGCAGAGACCACGCTCCAAACGAAGCTAGAGGCTATCCTGGCGGCATTCTGGCATAAGCTGGAGAGACGGGCACTGCAACAAGCCCCACCACAGGCAAGCGGCCCCTCACCTAAACGACGCATGTCACGAACGAGGAAAACACCCGGGGCCCCCACAGGGAAGAGGATCCCATGGAGAAGGCGGACCAAGCCCAAAACATCACCCCGGCATAAGCAGCAGCACAACCAAAGTCAGTCACGCATGAGACATACATTTGCGCCTCGTCGAGGGTCTCCTGTTCTCCTGGCAGTCAACATCCGGGGGACCGTCCGGCCCCACAAGACGAGACCGGAGCCTGGAGGCTTGAAATACTTCACTAAGCTGCCCAACAGCGAGATACCCATGACGGGAGTCGGCTGAAAACAGACCAGGAGCCAGGGGTGCTGGGACTTCCTCTTAAATGTATGTGCCCCTCTCAAACACACAACGCATAAGGATGACCCAAATCTTAACTTTGCTTTATAGTTTTGTCATAGTAGCCTCCCTGCTTCAAGGACTTAATCTGAGAGGGAGCCTCCTGGGACATTTGAATCACCTGCTAGCCTAGGCTCAGAGACCTAACTTGAGCATACTCTTTAAGCATATGACTGCATCACATTTCAATGTTAGTTGTTAATCCCATACATAATTCAATAAGCCTGATTATAATGCCTACACAAATTGTACACTAGCTTAGTAAATTAAGCATAGTTAAACGTTGAAGGTCTCACTTACTCTGATGACATACTCACTTATTCTACTTATATTCCTGTCTAGTATTATGTTCAAAACGACGACACACCATTTGTTATCTAACTTAACTTAACTGTACAGCATGAAGCACACATAAAACAAAACTTGTGCACGCACTTTCAACGCCATGTTACTGTTACCACATGTATGAAACTGCATTGTTTGCCCGCTGTTGTGGCGCTGCATGCTTAATATGTTCACTCTTTGCACGACTAAAATAAAGAATTTAAAAAAAAAAAAAAATGTTAGTAAAAATATATTTAAGACTAGTATATAGTTCATGAAAGTGTGCACACATCACATAGGCCATTTATATAATTTGTTTAGAAGTAGAAAAATAGAGTTGTGCAAAAATTAAATAATATCACTTTGTAGAGAATAATAGGTAATCCCTAGAACTCCAAATTTTGTCCTAGCAACCCTTACCTTCATGCCTTTAACGTAGAGGTAAAAATTACTTCTTTGAATTCTTGGTGGTGTTCAGAGCAAAGGTTACTCGCAAACGTGTGAATTGTAGGGAAATTAGACTGTTTCAAATTTTGGCTATTTTGCCCCAAATTGGAACAGTTCCAAATCCTATGTTTTCAGTTTTGGCATAAAATGCACACTTCACTTTGAACTGCCAACCATTCTCTATTCGATTCATACTGTATCAAATAACCCTGTAAATTGGAATTTATTAGAGAATTGAAAGACTTTAGACTAAATAATCAAATTGGAAATATTTTTTTTGTACCTTGGCTATTATTCCAGTCTAGCTATTCCCTATTGACCACAGATACTGCCTTATTAAATGTATGTCTTTTTTACCAGGAAGTTGAGATAAAGGATTAGGAGACTGAAACTAGACTATCTCAAATGTTATTGTAAGCTGGCTGATAAAGAATTTATATCTATTTTTCCAGGGAAGTTGAGACATCCTTAGATAATCTGATAACTAAATATTGCGCACAGGACATCCTCCTGATAATAATTTCACTTGTATTTTCAGTTTTCTAATTTTATCCTGTCCAACACACACAACTTCCTAGAAACGGCAGTAATAATTGGGCTAAAACAAAAACCACATATCGCTGTTATATTTTAAACGATGCATTTTAAAGCATAGAAATGTGACAATAAGCACTAAATTATACGCTGCACTGCAGGTTTTCAGCTGAAATTGCAGATTTTGAAACATATTCTCCAGTTTTTGCTTAATCTGCAATTCAGGGTTTAGTGAATTAACCACATTTAATTGACCAAATTATAGTAATTGCGTAGAGCAAGCACTCATTTTGTTAAGGTTTATTGCTTTAGCAATGCGTCTGCTGCCAAATTATAAACCACTATATAATGTCGGATCAAGTTGTACCTGGATGTAACCTTAAAAAGTGGTGAGAGGTGGCTGAAGATTGCAAAAAGAGGCATTTTAAAACTGCATTTCAAAAAAGATACAAAATGAAAATTACTAAATATACCATCAAACATTTTTAATTATGGCATATATTTACATACCTGTTAATTATGTATTAGGCAAAAATGGAACTGGAATTTTACATTTTAATTTTTTTGTGTGTTTATATTTAAAATTCCAATTCTCTTGTCGGCCCTCTCCAGTTTAGTGTATAGTCCCAAGAGTATTCTGCAAACTTTTGTGAGATTTTCTGTCTTGTGTGACATTCTATCTTTAGAACAAGTGGCTGAATGTAATACTGTTGTCTTCTTACGATAGAATTACATTACGTTATTACAGTTCATAAAATGACAGGAAGCACCCATGTTTGGTATTCTTTCAGGGTCTGTTATTTCCTACAGTCTGCCTTCAAGCCTGGAGATTGTCAAGCATCCCATTGTACAGCGCTATGGAATTTGCTGGCGCTATATAAATAATAAAATAAAAATAGTGAACATTCCGTTTTTATGCAAAATAGGGAAGGGATAGATTTACAGTAACAAAGTAATTCCTGAAATACTTACAAAATTCAGAATTAAGCAACAAGATCGTATGAATCACAAAACAACACATATTCTTGTAGTAGCGTAATCGAAATTTCTTGAAACCTCACAGCTGCTTTTACGTAGCTGCATACTTTTCGTTTGAATGATACGTTTATCAAATGAATGCATGAATTTCAATCTGGCTGCCTCGTCTGGTACTTTGACGTACTTATCTCTCCTGCCAGTTTCCATGCTGATGGAGGTAAAACAGACTGCTTTATTGAGAAATCCTTTTAAAGTGTGGCTACGCCAAATATGCGTTGTGGTGTCCTCTTTTTTTTTTTTTTTCGTACATAAAAATCATTTTAAATACAATGTGACTAAAATATGCTTATTTAAGGCCCTAAAACGTGTAGCAGCAGCTTACAATACTTGTGTATAAATCTCTTAAAAATACACTAAATAATGTATGTGATAACATGGAATGCTGCAAAAAAAACAAAAGCTCTTTCTCTCCTTTTTGTGTATAAATGACTCCAGTATCAACATAAAAAATGAAAACCAAATATAGTGTAGTATGTATCGACAAAACTGAAAAATGCTCTATAAACAGTGTATCAGCACAAGATGGACCTGGCTGTAGGTAAGAACACATCTGGTGTTTTACAAGGGTATCACCCATCATCTCCCCCTGATATGGAACAATGAAGGGAGAGCAGGAGATGAATTCTTCTCTCTCTAACTCAGTTTATATGATTGAAATAAAAATATATACATCATATAGTAATGCAACATATATTGAGCGAACAGATGTGATAAATTGACTCTCATAAATTAGAGAGCCTTCCAACTCCCAGCTCTAAGGTATCGGCACTTGTGTGCTTATCAGGATGGCCCACAAATCTCAAATACAGAAATCATTAGGTGAAATAAAGTATCTAAAAACATCAAAATATAAAACCATACCCTTGCCCTGTAATCCGAGATGTATTTCACCTGAATTTTCAGGCTATCTCAATCTGCATATCACTTACTTTCATCGTGTGGGATTTTGACTTCCTGGTTCGATCATGTAATCTGTCATGTAATTACATAAGACGCATCATCATCCAATCATTGTTTTCCTATAAAAGGAACAAACCATTAATTCATTACAAAATATATAAATATACACCATTTGGGTGTAGCTTTTCTGCTGTACATCTGACCCAAAGTGTGGAACAATGAGAGTTCTCATATGAGTAAGTTACGCAGTCCTCGGTAACTTATAGGTCGCATATAAGAGAAAGATAAGTTATTCTACTAAATATGATCAATTGGTGACAATATAAAAATACTTAAATACTATAAAAATACATACTATACTATAATCGCATAAATGGACTAACATTAACGGGCACATAGCTCTGTAATAGAACTCCCCAATAATGTTCTTCTGTTGGAGCAAACATCTATCCAACATGAATTAATATTTTTTCCAAACATAATTAGGGATTATTCTAGTTTACAGTGAACGAATAATCTAAATTTTATTAAAGACAGGAGGCGAATATTTGATTATCTTTCTTTACTGTAACCACCAGCAGAAAAGTAGTAGTTAACAAGGTTGTAAAAAATTCAACCAATCATAACACATCATAAAACCATATAGTGCCATCAGACTCCTCCCACTTCCTTTTTCTTGGTGGTGCCGATCAGTAGTAGAATCAACCATGTAAACTGGAAACATTCTGGAACCGTAACTCAGGTGTAACGCAATTAAGTCAACCATGTAAACGTGTTGTTGAGTAGATCAACTTCGTGAAAGTATGGTCTTCGACAAGAGAAAAAAAACAAGAGACAAGAGAAAAAACAACAAAAAAAGTACGCACTTTAAAGTGATAGCTCAGATCATCTGGTGGACTTAAAGATCATAATGGTACAATGCGATGTAGGACTAGATCTTACTAGGCTAACAAAACCGTATACCTACAACAATCAAATTACAAGAGAGTGTACAATGCAATAACAGTAGAAAAGGAGACTTACCCTAAGGGTGGGTTCCAGAGTGAACGAAGGGAGGGAAAATATTCGCCTCCTGTCTTTAATAAAATTTAGATTATTCGTTCACTGTAAACTAGAATAATCCATAATTTTATGGCAAGACAGGAGGCTTCATTTTTGCTGTTTTAACGCTCTTGAATAAAGGAACAAGCTGCATGTGATTGTAGGTTTAAAATAAAAAGTTCGAAAGGTAGATTTCCTTGACCAGTCTGCGGAGGATAGAATATCCGCCAGCAAGCTGCCTGCATGAAAGGCAGAAGATGCGGCCCCACCTCTAACGGAGTGAGCACCGAATGATTGATTAATTCCTGCTTGGGTAAGCAACCATCTTATCTCATCCAGCGTGCGATTGAGGGGGAAGAGACCGGTTTGTGAGGTCTGACGTAAGAGACAAAGAGAGTTCCAGTAGGGGAACGTAGAGAGGTAGTGTTCTCAATGTAACAACGGGTGCACGGCTACACAGAGAGACGGTCTGTCGGGAAAGTATGGGTAAAAAACTGAGGAGGAATTAGTCTTCGTGCATCTAGTAATAGTAAATCTGACACTATCTGGTGTGAAGGCCACAACATGAGAGTCAAAGGCCTGAATGTCTGAAACTCTGCGGAAGGACACCAGGCACAGGAGCAGGGCCAATTTTGCAGAAAGTTGGCATAGGGATAAGGCCTCGTTAGAAGGCCAGGAATCCAACCTTAGAAATATCCCTGAAATTCGAGTACTTGTCAGTAGGCGGCCTTGTCAAACGTATGCCCCGTAGAAGTCTGCACACGGAAGGGTGTTTCCCAACCATTGAATTATCAATAGTGTCACGGGCCGCCGAAATGGCGGAGCGAAGAATATTAAGCGATCGGTATGATTTACCCTAATCGGAGAGAGGATATAAAACTTTTAAATGGATGAAAGAGGAGTTGAAACGGGATCGAGGTCCCTTTCCAGACACCAGTTGACCCAAATCCGCCATGCGGAGAGATAGGTTCGTCTGGTTCCTGGAGCCCACGAGTCCCATAGGAGTGTTTGAGCTGTGCGTGAAAGTCCCGCGACATGCCAAGCTACCAGTTGAAGATGACCCTGTAGGGTGAGTGGATGGTAATCACCCGCTGTGTTCTTGAGGACTCAAAAGGAGCGAGGTAGTAGGATGGAGTAATCTACTGATAGTTCCAGGAGGGTGGGGATCCAAGTTTGGGCCCTCCATAGTGGAGTGATTATTATTATCCTGACCCTTTGAGCTTTGAAGGGTGAAGGGTTCGTTGAATCATCGAGAAAGGAGGGAAAGCATAAGCTCCTCTCCGCAGCCAAGGTTGCAGAAAAGCGTCGACTGCCAGAGATAGAGGGTCTGGTAGCCAGCTGAAGAAATCGTCTGTCTGACGATTCAGGCGAGATGCAAAAAGGTCTAATGTGAGGGGTCCCCGTAATAGATTAATGTGGTGAAACAGGAAAGGGTCTAATTGCCAATCGCTGGCAGCTCTCCAATGACGCGAAAACCAGTTCGTGACTAAGTTGTCGGGCCCTGGGAGGTATTCCGCTCGAATGGACAGGTTCCTGTCCAGGCAGAATTGGTACAGGTCCTTGGTGACATCGGACAGAAGTTTGGATTTGGATCCTCCAAGTCGGTTTACATACCGCACCGCGGAGATGTTGTTCATCCGTAGTACCAGGGAGCAGTTGGAGGCGTCCTTTGCAAAGCTGTGGATCGCAAAGGATCCTGCAATGAGCTCTAGACAATTTATGTGGAGTGCCTGTTCTGATGGGGACCAGAGACCCCCTGTGGAGGTTTGGGCACATGTAGCACCCCAACCTAAGAGGCTGGCATTGGATTCCAGGATAAAATCTGGTTGAGATCCGGAGATCGCTTTCCCATTCCAGGCTTCCATATTGCGAAGCCACCAGTGGAGTTTGATGAGAACTTAGTCTGTCAGAGATATGAATTGGTCGTAAGAGGTTGAGCTATGCAAGTAGTTTTCAACCGTTGCATTGCCCTGTAATGTTAAGGCCCGGGGAATATAGCCTGGATTGATGCGGACAAGAGTCCAAGAATGTGTGCAGGGTCGCGGAGCCGAGGTCGCTGAGTAATTTTTTAATTTCTTTTCTTATTTTTGATTTTGGGGTAAGGCAGTTGCAAGGTTGCCTGAACCGAATCTATTTGAGAGCCCAGAAACTGGACTATCTGAGAGGGTTCCAGATCTGACTTCTGGAAATTTATAACAAAATCAAGGTTTTGAAGGAGAGCAGAGGTCATGTGCGTGTGTTTGCGAAGCAAATGTTGGTCTTGGGCCATAATCAGGATGTTGTCTAGATATTATGCAATGTTTTTGAGATGGAAATGACCGGATTTGGCGATAGATTGAACATGAGGCTTGAAGGAGAGGTTGGAGTGAAAGAAAACCCATAGGCAGTGAGCCTGTGTGGTAGAGCTGGTGGTAGCACCGTTGACTTGGAGGGAGACAGACACAGGAGTAACACTTGAGGGAGGAAAGACCAGAATTTCAGTTTTGGTCAAATTTAGTTTAAGGAAGTGGGTAGCCATCCAGTTAAAAACAGCAGAGAGGCAGTCAGAGACACTAGTCAAGAGGGACGGGGAGAGATGAGGAGAGGACAGGTAGATTTGCGTGTCATCTGCATAGAAATGATATTGGAAGCCAAAGGAGCTAATGAGTTTACCAAGGGAGGCAGTATAGATGGAGAACAGTAGGGGACCAAGGACTGAACCTTGGGGGACACCAACAGAGAGGAGTTGGGGAGAAGAAGCAGAGCCAGAGAAAGAAACACTGAAAGAGCACTGGGAGAGGTAGGAGGAGCACCAGGAGAGAGCAATATCTTGTAGACCGATATTGCGGAGGATGAGAAGAAGCTGTTGATGATCAACAGTGTCAAAAGCCGCAGACAGGTCAAGGAGAATTAGGATAGAGTAGTGACCACGAGATTTTGCAGCGAGTAGATCATTGGATACTTTGGCCAGTGCCGTTTCCACAAAGTGGAACGTACTCCCTGAGAACGGAGTAGTGTCATGACCGGTTTCATTAACTTGGTGAAACACCAAGGGGCGGAACAAAGTCCAAAAGGAAGGCAGGTGAACTGCCAAATTTTGTCTTGCCAGAGAAATTGAAGGAAGGCACGATGACTTTGTGTGATTGGGACCGTGAGATAGGCATCCCTGAGGTCGAATCTGGAGAACCAGTCTCCCACGCAAAGTAGGTCCCTGAGAAGATGGATACCTTCCATCTTGAAATGACGGTATGTGATAAATTGATTCAGTTCTTTGAGATTGATAATAGGATGGTGGTCTCCCGTCTTTTTTTCGTTCAAGAAAAATGGTGCTGAGGAAGGTGTAAGGGAAAGGCGAGTGTTCGATCGCCCCTTTGTCTAGTACTTTGTGTAACTCTGAGTTTAAGGTTAGTTTGTCTGCTTCCGACATCCCTAGGGGTGTCGGAGGAAAGTTTTGAATGGGGTGTGTGAGGAAATCTATTTTGAAACCCCTGACTGTATGAAGGATTCAGTGATCCTGAGAAAGTAGTTTCTACTGTTGGGGAAAAAAAGGGTTAATCGACCTGCAATTGGTAAATAAAAAAAAAAAAAAAGTAAGGTCCATTACCTGAAGCAGTGCGTCCGCGCAGGGATGCAGAACCACGTCCTCGAATAGAGTCTCTGGTGTTGAATAGCTGTCTGTGATAGGATCGAGTGGGTCCTGAGGACCAATAGTCTGTGGGTCAAGGCCTGTAGCCTGCGAAGGCTGCTCTACTGGTAGCTCGGCCCCTGTAGCGACCAGCTCTCCCGGAAAAACTTTGTTTGGGAGCGGAAAACCCTGCGTAACGAGGACTGGGCTTTATTTAGTGTGGTAAATACAGAGACATGCTTGGAGAGGTCTCGCATAACACTGTCACCAAATAATAGACCATCGGCTTCTGGTCCCAATTCCTTTGAACTTAAGTCTACCAATTTGGCATCAATTTTATAAAGTGACGCTTTTCGTCTTTCGATAGAAATTGCCACATTGGCGTTGCCCAATAGGCATAGAGCTCTCTGAGCCCATTCTCTTATAATGTGTGGGTCAAATTCACAGCTAGTGAGTGCCTCATCTGCCAGGGGGGGGTAGGGGTACTGCTGGGGGGGTAGGGGTTGCTGCTGGGGGGGGGTAGGGGTATGGGTGCTGTGTGTCAGTATAACCCCCCCCCCCTCCTTCTTACCTTTAATGAAGTGGGGGGGTGGGGGGGGGGCAGGCGCCTACTCTGCATTGATGGCGAACCTGTGGCCGCGTACCCACAGAAAGGGCCCGGCGTGCCATAGGTTCGCCATCACTGCTCTAGAGGGTCTGTGGGATCCTGCATAGCGCATGGCAGGGAGTGTTTAATTTTTTGCAGGAGCTTTGCCTTTGCCCGCAGTAGCGCTATTCCCTTTCCAGGGTCTTTTGCGCGGGGCACTTTCTTGGTCTGAAAGGTGGGAATCCTCTGAGTCGGAGGGTTGGTGTGTAGAGGGATGAACCTCTGTAGCAGTTTGCTCATGATAGGCTGCTAAAGCTTTGGGAATGGACTCCGCAATAGTGGAGAAAAGCCATTCCCGAAGTTCTGCAGAAATTGCAGGGCCTTGTCAATCCGACATAATGTCTTATTAGTATTTAAGAAAATTATAGAGAAATGATAATGAAGGCAGCTTAACAACTACAGGTAGTGGGGGTCACCCACACAAGAGTAGAAACAGTGGGGGTCACCCACACAAGAGTAGAAACAGTGGGGGTCACCCACACAAGAGTAGAAACAGTGGGGGTCACCCACACAAGAGTAGAAACAGTGGGGGTCACCCACACAAGAGTAGAAACAGTGGGGGTCACCCACACAAGAGTAGAAACAGTGGGGGTCACCCACACAAGAGTAGAAACAGTGGGGGTCACCCACACAAGAGTAGAAACAGTGGGGGTCACCCACACAAGAGTAGAAACAGTGGGGGTCACCCACACAAGAGTAGAAACAGTGGGGGTCACCCACACAAGAGTAGAAACAGTGGGGGTCACCCACACAAGAGTAGAAACAGTGGGGGTCACCCACACAAGAGTAGAAACAGTGGAGGTCACCCACACAAGAGTAGAAACAGTGGGGGTCACCCACACAAGAGTAGAAACAGTGGGGGTCACCCAATAACTAGAGGTGGTGATCAACCACATAGTACAATAAAAATATATATAATAGCCAATGAGGTGGGGGCCACCCACTAGAGAAGAACAAATGGTGATAATCGCGAGTATAATACAGAAGTATATGTAGTAATAAAGTGGGGGTCACCCACAAAATAAACAAGGTGGTGTCAGCCACACAAAGTATTGTTTGTCAGTAATTAGGTGGGGATCACCCACAGAAGAGACAAAGGTGGTGTCAGCCACACAATAATTTTTTTAATGAATTGGTAATTTATACAAGAAATACAATTGAGTGTAGGGAAAGGGGTTCACCCAGTTTGTTTAGCAGGTTGGTCTTGTCTGGAGCAAAAAAACCTGCAAAGATATATACAAGAAAATTGTGATCAGTATTCTGATAGTTTTTTGGAAATAACCTTTAAATAAGGGTTAATTAATAGAAGGAACGTACCTTCCGAAAGGGCAGTACCAGTGCCCACAGAATGATACTCTAGTGTACCGCGAGTGGAAAATGGCCGCTGCGAGTAAAAGGGGGCGGCGCGATCGCGTCAGAGCCCACAGACGGCGGGAAGGTGGTTAAAAAAGGCGCGATGGCTGATACAAGAAGAAACGGTCTCCTGGGAAACGGAGTCCGTGTTGAAGTGATTCCCCGAGGGGAGGGAAATAACCTGGCGGGCCGTTTCTGTATGAAGCAAGAAACGGCCCGGCGGAAAAAACTGAAAGTTTGTTACACACATTAAAGGTGTACGGTACTGAAAATTAAAAAAAGGTAAAAATACAATTGCAGATGAAATAAAAACTTCCTAAAAAGGGAAGTTACCCTGAGAATAACATGAACCTGCCATTGGGTTACCCCAGTACAGGATTAACATATAGAAAATTATCAAATAATCTATGACCATTAAAAATTCAAATAGTAAAACTAGGCAACGTAATTAGAATAGACTCACCTGGGAGGCAAGCAGCAAAGAAAGAGGAAGTGGGAGGACTCTGATGGCACTATATTGTTCTATGATGTGTTATGATTGGTTGAATTTTTTACAATCTTGTTAACTACTTCTTTGCTGCTGGGAGTTAGAGTTAAGAAAGATAAGCAAATATGAAGCCTCCTGTCTTGCCATAAAATTGTCTATTGGCAGAATATTCTACTGTCAGAAAAGGAATTTCCTACTACAATAGCAGGATTCATATTTTTTTTAGCGGGACATAAATGAACGATATGTGACGCTTTACTGGAACAACACCGCAGGAGGGTTGCATTTATTACGGAATTCACTCCCTAAAATAGATTCACTTGAACCTACAATTTGATAAGATTGTTTTTCTGTGATCTAAGTTTCTGCAGAAATTGCTGGCAGATTACCACAGACGTTCAGAAGTGGCTGTTCTAGTGTGTTGTTTATGTGGTGTTCATTCCCGTTCATTGTAGAGCATTATAATGAAATATTGACCAGCCCCAAGCTCCAGGAAATATAGGGACATATTTACTGGCAGAAAATAATTCACTGTGTCATCCTATAAACACACAAAAGATGAGAACTTCCTTCAAGCAAAAAGCAGAAGTAGTTGAGTTGTCACCATAACATGATGGTGTTATACTTATTTTCATAGTCATTCTCTCACTAATTAACTACAGACTAGTCACATCGTCTCAGGGATCTGGATCGTTATGGGAAGATGCACTGTGTAGTTTTATCAATAACCATTATTGTAGATGTTTTTTGGAAATAGAGATAGGCAGAGAAGATTGAGGCCTAGCTCTTGTAACTAAATTATTAAATGCTCAGTGGTGTTACGTCCATAAGGGCACTTAGGGCTGACCCTACCAGCTAATTGTCATAGTTGAAAATAATATTTAAAAAATATATATTGCCAGTGGAATAAGGAGATTTTGTTTATTTTGGGAAAAGGTACAATTGTGTATTTCCATTATAAATGGTAAACCTACACCAGGGGTAGGCAACCTTTTAGCAGCACTGTGCCGATATAGGATTGTGATGTCCCGTAGCGTGCCGGTCCTATTTTTTTTAAATTGAGGTGTATTTTATTCTGCTTGTTATTTTTACTGCAGTTGCTTTGCATCGTTGTATTTGTGTATATATGAGCTATTATATTGTATATGTTCATTAGTAGTTTATGGTATTGTGTATGATACATATGAATGTGGGCTGCTTGTGGAATTGTGTGTGGATGGACATGTCACATTGTGTGTTTGGTAGTGTGTGTGGGCTGTTTGGGGTATTGCATGTGAGAGGCTGCATGTATGTGGATTGTTAGCGGGTTACGTTTGTGCAGATTGTGTGTATGTTTGTGTGTGGGCTGTTCGTATTATTTGTATAAGGGGAGGGTTATTCTTCATTTCTGTGTTATGAATGTAAATTAGTGATAGTAAAATGTCTACTTACTGTTTATACCTGTATTCAATATCTACTCAAAATGGCTGCTAGAGCACCCCCTCCCACCGACTAACTACCTCGTGTAACAAGATGGCGCCTACATCCGGAGTAAAATCCCGGGATAATGGTGACATCACGCCTCATAGGATGTGCATTAGATAAGACTCTTAACACCTAACCAATTAAAGATGTATTCTCTCTGTTATCTACATTTTTGCATATGATATATTTTTGCCTTTATGAGGGGCTTGCCGCCCCCTGAGTAAACATTTCAAAGTTTTTCATTAACCTGATACCCGTGTCTCAGTGTAATTTACTTCAGAGCGTGCACGCATTTATTTTAACAATTTGGAAAGGAGTAAATACTCAGATAAACATTTGGTTTGATCCACAATATCTGTGTATATCTAGCAGTACGGTTGGCTTCCCTGGGTTCCAGTGGGGACCAGGCTGGCCTGGTACAGGTCAAAGACAGGAGCTGCAACAGCAGCTGCAGGCTGCTCTACTACATTGTGGATTCCCATTCTAAAGTTCTTGAAGGAAGTGATCTGAGATCACTACCTCTATGTGCTGCAATGCTTAAATTGAGGATTGTCCTTCACCATCTTTTCGTATTAGCAGATATTTGAAGTTTTACTGGGACTCCTGATAGGACAGAGCCTGTTTGGCTCTAGCAGCCTTGAGTGCCGTGCAAAGACACCTCGAGTGCCGTGCATGGCACTAGTGCCGTAGGTTGCCTACCCCTGACCTACACCATTCAGTATGAACAGTGCTATATTTTTCTTCCACTTCAGCACCAACTGATCCACTGATAATGAATGATGGCTGTCTGGATAAGTTATTGAGAGCATCTGGGCATGTGTAGAACTTAGGTCATTTATGAAATCTGTCCTGTTTGAGAGCACCTCAGACATGCACAGTGTGCCCCTAGATGTGATTTTATTTAGTTTAATTTAAATATATTCATGTAAATATTCAATTTAAGAACCAGAAGAGTATCTTAACTGGACACCTTATGTCAAATAGTTCAAAAGTCTTACACTCTCATTCAGAGCTTTTTGGACAGTAGAGTGGAGGTAAAGAACCAAGTTTGTAAAACAAAGATCATGACTTAAATTCGCAAATTGTGGGATTTTTTTTTTTTTTTTTCCTCTGGACAGCCAGTGCTTATCAGGGGGTTATGATTTCAATACCAGTATTTTTGTAGTGTTTGTTTATTTTTCCTCTAGTGTAATGTAGTATCGAATGTATATTCTAATGCCATTTATGTATGTTATCTTAATATATTTAGTGAATGCTCGTATTGAAACATGGCCAAACTAAATGCTCTTCACTTATTGAGCTTTTGTGGACTGAACACTTAGGAGTGAAAAAAGGTTTACTTATGTTTTGACCCATGTTAGATAACACATTAATTGCATGCCGCATCTCATGTGTTTGGTTTTTTTCTGATATAGCAAAAATCAGAATTGAAACTCTTCTACCAGAACGAATAAAAAAAATAACAGACCACACAAAGTAGCAAAGCTCACTGTCCATACCAGCACGGTGTGCTTCTGCTGATAATGTGTTGTCCAATAGCTAAACTGTGTGCTTTCTAAAAAGGAAGCACCTGTACTTAAAGGGTTACTAGAAGCACCATGAACACTTTGGTGATTTGAAGTGGTCATGGTGCCTGGAGAATATAGTTTCGCTATGAAACGCTGCACATAAGAGTTTTTAACTAGCAGCGTCATAGGGGGCGTCACCACCCAGCCTAATCTCAATGGCTAATGTCAATTCTGTGCAATTTTTCATTGTCAAGCCGAAAATTGAATTGAGTCATCATATGTTCTTCAAATGGTCGCACTGTGAATGCAATATTGTGTTTGTGTCCTTCAGAGAGCGAGAGTTTACATTATCTCCAGACTGCAGATTAGGTTACTCAATCATGAGATGTTTGTTACATTCAGTGCATGCCCTTTTAACAATGTGTTTGGGTGCCTCAGAGAGTGACAGCTTACTTTATGATGGGGGTTACTGTGAGTGATAAGTGCTCCAAGTAATGTGTTGAGGGGACTATTTGTCACTTTGAGTGAAACACTGGGGATTGTCCCTCCTCTCTGTTTTCAGACGGCCCAGTCTGCCCTCGCTGTAATAAGAAAGGTTTGGCTCCCTTTAAATGTTTATCATGTGACTACTACTGCTGCGGAGCATGCTGGAAAGAGCTGCTAAAGGTTTGTAATTTGTTTTTCCCTATAATAAAGGTGATAAATGGTCATCCTTAAACTGCTTCACTTAGGCCTCTAATACTGTTGGATAACGTTTACAAAAATGATTTAATATTTTTGCATATACCTTCCAAATGATTTAATATTCTGAAAAAATATTATCTAAAGATTACAAACTAATATATTTTTTTTATATACTCCTATATTGTTTTATATATGATGTATTTTGATATATTTACTTTAAAATCTTAAAAGTTTCTAAAAAGAGAAAAAAAATTAATCATTTGAAAAGTTTATCCAACAATATTAAATAGAGGCTTTACTTGCTTATATTACGGTTTGTGATGCATTTTTTTTTTTTTTACAAAAAATTATTTTTATTCCTCCTCTTCAGAGAGCTAAAGTTTGTCCCGCTTGCAATAACAGAACAACAAAGAAGTATCTGGGTCAGATATTTTTCACGGCACAGCTGTAGGAGCAGAGTAAACGTAACTTTACCCGTAAGAAAACCATTATACCTCATATCTTCCTTGCGTTCTGCAGTCGCTCTGGACAGCACCCGTCAAAATACTCTCTGCATAATACATTGGTTTTGGCCTACACAAACTCTTCTGTGTAAAATTAAAGAAAACTGTATCAAGTATGTATTATCATGAACATAAAAAATGCACAGCACAAAATGAGATCTATTTCATCTTCACTTCCCATAGTTAAGTATTTACATTTTCAGCATCAATAGTGTTTGATTAACATGTTGTCACAGTAAATACTGCTGATGTCAGTAAAGGAACATAATACATAAAAACTGTGTTGGTCTAAAGGCATGGTTGCACAAAGTAATTATATTTATTGGACAAAACTATTTTATAAGACCGAATTTAGAACACCAGCCAGTGATATCCCTCAAAGGTTCTACTTGTTAAACAATAGGATTTAAAAAAAGTTTTTATTTTTTTTATTAAATGCCATCAGTATTTTGCATCTGTATATATATTTTATGTAAATGCTTTAACTGTAAAATTACATATTTTTAATGACGATAATAAAATGGATATTCCTGAGTTGTGTGTTGTTTGGTGTTTTTTTTTTTTTTCACCATAGATTGGACAATGTGTGCATAAAAAGTGGGTTACCCCTTGCAGCAACAAAATAAGGAAAATGTTCTTTAATTTTTCTTTATCTCCAATATATCATTGTATCGGAAGACATTAATGCACCGATAATTTTAAGACCTATTAATTATTTCTTATTTGTTACATCCTTGTGTTCACAAGACATTCACATTAAAGCCACAATATTTATCAATTTAGAACAATATTGTCTAAAATTGCTGTACACCTCTCTGTAAGTCCCTGAAGTAGCCTTGTTGGATAGCCGTGTGGTCAAACCGCAATAAAAACCTTAATTTATCGTAAAGAAGCAAGTTGTTAGTGTCATGATGGACAAATCAATAAAGTTCCTCAGATTTGCAGATCAGCCAGATTTTTGGGACTCCCGTCTGGTCCCTTAAAATTTTACTTATCATAACTTTTCTTTTCTTAGTATTAGCGGCAGTACAATCTTCCTCCCTATTTAATAAAGTTTATATTTTGGCGCCTAGAGCTGGTATTTTATGGTACTTTAGTACAACTGATCCATCGTGTCAAAACCTGGCTTTTTAAGGTATGGTGGACCATATCGTGAAGATGGAGACTAATATTTTAATATTCCTTGGTCATTTTATCAGTTATCTTTTAGGTGAATTCTCATTTACACAGATGCAATTTCTGGTAAGTAAAAAAAATTTTTGTTTCTTTATTCTAAGGATATAGTCCCCTGCTCTTCCGAGATTTCTGATGTCACCTAATCGCTTTGCATTTGGTTATCATCTCCTAGGCATTCTATAACTGGTAATGGGTGATTTTCAATGTTTCATTCACTGTGGTTATTTCCAGATAAGTGTTGGTTCCCCTAATGTATATAACTGTTACTATCTGTTTATAGCTTGGAGAAGCTGCATATATAATGATGTCAGGTTTTTTCCTGCAAAGAGAAGACGGGTCCTACTTCCTTTTCCTCCAATCTGCTCATATTGCACCTAGTGGCGCTTGATTTATCCTTTGTTCACGCGTGATACACAATTTAGTAGGGTGCTCTACTGCTGGTATCCTTTAATGCAAACTTTGCTGCTTGTATTTTACAGTTTTTATAGGCTATTTCCCCATTATAATGGATATCTAATTTTAAATTAGAAACACACTGAAGTTCTATTCTCTTCTTTTTTTTTTTGTTTTTTTTTTTGGCTTTTTCAGAATCCAGGTTACCTTGAAAAATAGGGAAAGAAAACCAAAGGTTTTGGAGAAAACTAGGAGTAAGAAGAAGTGAGAATATTTATCGAAAATATTTTATTCCTTGAGTTTGAAAAGAACTCGTGGTTTTATATGTATGTTATCATGCTCTTTTACGGCACTTAAAATAAATGGAAATACTATACATAGCATAAATAAATAAAATACAAAAGTACCCAATTCTCTTCCCCTAAATAATAAAAAATAAATATTTCACATAGTTACATGAGATAATAAAAACCCTCAGATTATCAGTCACAATGACATAAGAAAGTCCCACAGGCACTAATGACATGCTGGTTACATATTTCCCCTAAAATATGCTATAATTACTCTACACATTGCTGTCACTAGTGTCATTAACAGCTTAGTCAAATCGTGAGACTAGCTCCTGGCCAAAAACACAAGATTTATTTTTTAACCTACCTACCTAAATTCTGTGTATTTGTCAGTCTCTCATCTATCCCGAAGGACCGTTTTTACTTGCTTTTGTCGCTTTGCCATTCTGGAATTTAGGGGATGTTGATAAGGACACTGTCAGGCATTGCATTGTGTACAACAAAACAAGTGTTGAATTATTTTATCTGAATTTATGCTTTAATTTGTTTTGTTTTTTTATCAATGTTATTTAAAATGGTGGGTTGTTAAACTTTAGCTAAATAAATGCCAGCACCACTGAGAATTGCAATACTTCAATAAATGCATTCCAAGAATAAAAGCTTTGGTTCTTGATTAATTTATTCTCGATCAGAGAACTACGCAGCTCATGCTGTTTGTGTGAGCACCTAACACTTAGTGTGATTTGCTAAAGTAAGAATTCAAAGTGAATTGCATATTTGAAGCCACAGTAGCTGAACTAAATGCATAGTAGAATTTTCCCAGTCTAGCAATTTTAACTTTAAAGGGACTCTCCAGTGCCAGGAAAACAAACCGTTTTCCTGGCACTGCAGGTCCCCTCTCCCTCCTACCCCCCATTAAAAAATGCTTTCCTATGGGGATTTCAGCGACGCTGGAGGTCCTCACATAGCGTCAGGATGTCCGGCTACGCTGTAGCACACGGAATGTGTGCTATAAACACGAAAGTGCCCCCTAGTGGCTGTCTAGTAGACAGCCACTAGAGAAGGAGTTAAATATTGTCGTTCATGAAAACTACAATAATTATACTTGCAGGGTTAAGGGTAGTGGGAGTTGGCACCCAGACCAGTCCAAGTGGTCTGGGCGCCTGGAGTGTCCCTTTAACTTAGGGATTAGCCTAGCCTTGGTAAAGCTCTGTTTTAATTAAGACGGGGTGAATGTTGCTTTACATTTTTTTTTTTTTACTGAAACCTCCCATTAGCAAACAAACGGTTAAATAGAAGAGGTATGAATTTAAACCATAACAGGCCAACCTACATCCTCTTTCCTTGTCAAACAGGTAGAGGATGGCCAGTGAATTCAAATGGAGAACCGAGAATCTTAAACATAGGTCCATAGCCAAAAAATGAAGTGGCGTGGTTCCTCAAAAAAAGACGAAAACAGAGAAACGTGAAAGTGTATAATCATCTATGAGCAGAATGCAGACAGGTTAGCATCACAAAGCATGCAAATACGAACCAATAAAGGCACACAGGAGAGCCAGAACATATACGATCCATAGATCTAACAAGAGTAATGTAATACAAGTAGCAAAATAAGAGCAAAGACAAACAACCAAGAGAAAAAAGTAAGAGAAAATATGTGCCTCATCTCTTTATTAAAATGTAGACTATAACTTCACCTTCTCTAAATTGAACCCAAGACAGGAGGCTTCATATTTGCTCTTTTAGCGCTGAGGTACCAGAGCAAAAGTTCCAAAAAGTGGATTCCTGCAACCAGTCTCCTGCAGCCAAAACGTCAGGTAAGGGAAAAGCGGAGGAAGCTGCAGCACCCTGAACCAAGTGCACACCAAAAGATCCTGCAGTGCTTGCCAAAGTAAGTAGCCATTGGATCCAGCAAGCCACCATTCTAGTAGAGACGGGTTTTTGTGGTTGTACGTAAGCGATCAAGAGAGGGCCCGAGTGAGATTCTCAAAGAGACTCTGTAGCAGTCATATATGTGCGAATACAGGGAGCCACTCAAAATGTTGGAGAAGCAGGAAAATATGGATAAAATATAGACTTGGAGTGAGTCTTTATGCAATGGCTGATGAGAAAGACACCCCTTCTGGAGAAAAGGAGATAATCCGTATCAAATGCATGAATTTCCAAAACCTGAAGGAAGACCCCAAACAGAGAATGACTGCCAACTTAGCAGAGAGTTAGTGGAGAAACAGTGACTCATTATCCTGACAAAAACAAAAAAGACATTGCAAAAACAGGAATATTTCTAAATGGGAACCACTTGTTCCTTCAAGCACCAGCACTGCCAAATATGCAATGCCAAGAAGTATGCACGGTGAGTTCCCGGAGCCAAAGAGTCCCATAACAATTCTCGAGCGGAAGATCCAGTTCTACAGGATCCTTATACAGTGACAGGTGAGGAGGCAGAAGAAAATGCCTGCTGCAGACATCTCTTGCACTCCCGGGAACCAGGGTTGTGACTGCCACAACAAAATTACAAACAAGATTGACAAGTCTGGCTCTTCACGAGGTTCAGAACCCGAGCGAACATGGAGAAAGGCAGTAAGGCATAGGCTCCTGAGTCTGGCCAAACCTGTAGGAACGCATCCACCGCCAGTGAGGACAGATCCGGAAGTCAGCTGAATTAGTCGTTCATCTAATAATTCAGTCGAGAAACAAAGAGATCCAAAGCTAGAGGGCCCTGAGAAGGTCCAGCTGATGGGTCTCTGATGTTCTTCTGAAGGCAGAATCTGTAGATGTCCTTGATCAGATCCACCAGAACCTTTGATTGAGACCTCTCCCTAGGCAGTTGTTATAGTGCTGCTGACCGCCCTATGTGTTACCTAAGGGTTAATTAATGTTAATAAGTGTGTAGGGGTTTAGAAAAATAGCCCTCTCTGTCTCATTAGAGATTTCACCTTATAGCTGAGGACAGCAGGGTGAGTTGTTAGTGTAGCATTCACCTAAGAGGTATTGACTTGACGTGGCAGGTGACCTTACGCTTAAATGGCCATTGGAGTGATACTAAAAAAACATCCTGTTTTTTTAAATGTGTTTAGGGAGTTGGGATAGTGCGCAAGTGACTATTTTCTTTGTTTTATTTTTGTATGTATTGGGGCTGATGTGTACTATAGTCATTGCTGACACTCAGGAGTAGTGGGAGTTTAACTTTGTATGTTTATATGAAGACCCTGGTAGTCCAGTGGTGAGCTCGTATGGTCTGCGCCTTTATAAGATCTTTGATATTCTCGTTGCCAGTTCTGGCTGTCTGATAGTGTCACCGTGTTACCATGGCAATGCTCTGATACTATGCGATGGTGCTGGCTCTTGCGAGACGGACATGCGCAAGGTCTTCAACCGATGAAGACCAGAATGTCTTTGGGCCCTGGTGCACTGGGCCAGTGGGTGGAATCTTAGATCACCATATTTGGCCTACAAAGAAACACTCTGCGTGGGGCGTGAGTCGGCCTGTGCTGCCTCAAGGTAATGGCATGTGTTATATGTTCTGTATGAGGAAAAATGTATATATTGACTGAGGGGGCACGGGCACCCCGTGTGATGTTATATTATAAGATGAATAAAGGAAGTTATAGTTTTTTTAGTTTTGGGAGGGGGTGCTCCCCGGGGTGGTTTTGTG